TGACCTGGACGTGTTGTATTATAGGTGCATTGATCAAGGGCGCACCTCTGTGTGCCTCTTGAAAATGTACATAAATATTTATAGCTTTTTTTCCCAGGCGCGTCAACAATACGAAAATTTGCACAGTGCGTGGGGAAGTATAAAGTCGGAGCGAGAAAAATAGTTGCATATATACGGACCGGAGAGCTTGCGTCATTGTCAAGAGTGAAAGGCAATATATCATGTTGATTCAATCAACACTTTTACTTTTGTTCAAGTCCTTTGATACTCTACATCGCAAAATTAAAGTGGATTTAAGCTCGCGAGATGAAAATGCTCTCTTTCTCTATTTTTTTTTCTCCGGGCCCGCAAGCGTCCTTTGGGATTACATCTCGATAATTAGTTCACCCTCGATCCCCGATATATCCTGAAAATGCCTTTTTTCCTCACCTCCGGTAACTTTTCGGTTTTCTAGATAGCCTCGAGTTCTCGAAAAGCTCGTTCGTAAAAGTTAGAATATATACCCAGCAGCCAGCGTGGCGCGGCCCAGCCAGGCTATTTCCTTCGCGCTGCATAGATAGCACGAAGATATAAGAGAGTTCCGTTTAAGTCCAACGGAAGACGGGCAAAATTGCTCGGGCTCTTTTTTTCGTTGTTCCTCGAAGAGCTGCGTTACGCTGATATAAAACAAGCGAGAAAACAAATTAGTTCGGCGTGTCATAATTGTTGTTGTTGATGCGATACAGGCGAGAAAACAAATTAGTTCGGTGTGTCATAATTGTCACACAGCTGGTAATTTTCGTAACGATTAAAAAATTGTACCTCTTTTTATACGTAATTTATATCCTCTTTTGGGATTAATTGAAACGAGAGAGTCCCGATGCTCGTCCGCGCCAAATGACGAAACAGAAATTTAATGAAAAAAAGTGTACTATTTCACAGCATCTGATATTATGCTATTTGATGTTTCCCCGTGGAGTTATATTTTCTCTCTCTCTCTCTCTCTCCTCTTTTCGCCGAGAGAATCCCCCGCATTCGTGAGGCAAGTTTTATCAAATAGACATTTTTTATGGATATTAATGTCAGTGGCGCAAGCTCGTTGCACTAGCTCGTTACTATACATGTGTACGCTATATAGTTTCATTCTCTATGCGTGCGTAAATTTTCGTATATCTTTGGAATGTTTTTTCCTGGGCATAGAACTGATGTTGCAACGAAAAGCAAGAAACTCTACCTCGACCGCGCGCAACCCATTAAATTTCGTTAGATGTACAAATTTCACGTCTATTCAAATCTAATGCTTGAAAAGATCGACATAAGTAGATATGGTTTTGGTGCTGCATTTAGAATGACCGCGCACTGAACAAATGTGGAATATGACTTGAGTATTGTTTTTCAATCTATTTTCTTGTCGGAAATACAAAGTGTTATTTTTTAAGTCGCGTACTTGAGTCGCTTAAAAATTAAAGAAATACAAATTTTAAAAAGTTGCACCCTTCAGCCCATCGTCCGCGAGTAAACCATAATTAGACAATGTTTTCAAAAATGTAAAAAGAGGCGCTGAATGCATCGTACGCCTTCTACCCAAAACATTTGAGTTATGTGAAGAATCTACACTCACAAGACACAATGTAATTTTGGAAAATCTTACTCACATGAACATTCTTGAATTGTTCAAACAACAATAATACATTAATTTGATAATGAAATTTGGGATGAATCAAGGACATAGGTATGAGATAGGACACATCTATATGTCCTTGATTCATAATGAGTATAATGATGCGATGTACTGGGTTCATAACGAGAAGTAACATTGATATACTGTATGTAAGTATCACTGTATGTAACTACTTCTTGTGTCCACTCCTCACGAAATCCTTCCATAAACTTCGTAAGCTAACTCTTTCAATTGATTTTCGAATAAACGAAGATTTAACATGATCAAAAGTCGATAAAAAAGCTCTTAAAGTAGTGACTACATTCAGTGTATTCATTCCATCCGATTGAAGCATATCGTATATCTATTGATGGATGGACAGTAAAAGTTCAACTCTTGGCTGAGGTAAAAAATTACTTACCAAACAATCTGTTACTATTTATGTCCATTTTTTTTTCAATGACAAATTGTTGAAGGATAAAGTTTAGCTCTAATTTCTAAGACATATAATTTTATCACGCCGCGGCACATACAGTACAATACCATTGTGTAAAGGCTGGAAATTCGGGCAGAGAGAGAGAGAGAGAGAGAGAGAGAGAGAGAATTAATAAGCGCATCCAGTACACCGCAGTTGCGTAAATCTCCGAGATGAAAAGGCCATTATTCGCCGTGCAGCCGCAAGCACGCGTCGCTGTTTTTCTTTTTGTCGTCATGGCATATACGTATGGGTGTACCTGCAGTATTCTTTGTCGGACGAGTGATCGAGCACTACCACTGTGGCAGCTATATAGGCGCGGCGGCCACCTACTGCTGCTGCTGCTGTTGCTGCTGCTGTTGCTGCTTATTCAACCGACTCGCTGAGCACGTTATGCATGCGCCGAACGCACTGCCTCGAAAGCTCCGTGTCCCTCGGTATACGCCAGCGTCATTTTTTTGTTCGTTTCATTTACTTCTTTTCCGATTCATTTTTGTTCTCGAGTACGTACATAATGCTATTATTAGTCTTTGGGAAAGGGGTCAATAAACTTTTTCTCCTGCCCGCTCGAAGAAAATTCTGGCTCAGCAAAAAAAGTACTTACACAAAATTTGATAATATATTAATGCTCTATACTAGGAGCGCCCTGATCAATCAATCACTCCAAGTTTTGTTGATATACTTTATACACTTTTTCGACGATTCATCATTTTTTATTTCGCGTGTCCGCGCCAACTTCCTGCTCGTTGTTTTTTAGCTCGCTCGCGCGCTCGTGTTTTCTCTCCTCGTGCATGCTGCGAAAATTGAAAATGATTTCCCCACGCACTTTTCGTTCCAAGATAAATTCATAAGCGGTACGCGCGTCTCGTGCGCGCCATTAGAATTAATTCACTCACCGTCGGCGATGCAAATTACGAGATAAAAATTTTGTGCGTATAAAAGTCAGCTGGTTACGCGCGCGAGCGCGAGATTCATATAAAAAAATTTGTTGCGCTCGTTCGAGCTCGCTAAGCTAATTTAGCTTTCAAAACACGACAAAATCTATTTATTCAATCGGAGTTGAAATACGGATTCGACGCTTCGCTCGAGTAAAGTGTCTCTCACGTATATAACAGCGCGTCGGAGAAACTTTCTTTATATATGTACAGTGGATGGGCTGGAGAGTGGGCTACGCAAGACTGGGCTTGGCTTTATATAAGCGAGAGGAAAAGTCTTATGCATGTATCGCGACACTTTTACTCGTGAAAAAAAGATTTTCATGCCATCTATATAACACGAATGCAGCACTGCTTCGTCCGTTGCTCGCGTCCAGTAAGTTTTTCATCCGACTACTGTACGATACAGTGCTGCACGAAGTGCGCAAGTGCCTATACATGCGACCCGCGTACGTATGTATGAGTATAGAAAAGACGTTTTAAAGTAGAAGGATCAGCAGCAGACTTTTCTCTCTCTTTTCTACTTTCTTGCTCTTATTTCGTCTCTTTTCTTATATATCCTTTACATTTTCGTTGAGATGCAGGTGCGTGACCACAGCAAAAAAAAAGACTCGTCGGAAACGCTCCGTTCCTTGTGCAGTCCTGCATGTATTATATACACGTATATCTTTGCTCCAGCTCCGGGATACTCTGTTGCATACGATTTACATTTTTTGAACTAGAAATTGCATACGCAAACATACAAAGTGACACGAGCTACGGTCCATATATAGGTATACGTATATGCAGAAGCGTCGATATGGCGAATTAGATGCATGCGATGCTATACGCGCAGCTCACTTCGATCCGCATATGCATATAACATTATGGCCAAAGCTCAAACAGAAGCAGCACAAACGTATCGACAATAATACGTCCGATGGTGTGTGTGTGTGTGTGTGTGTGGGTGGGTGTGCTGCCGTTGCAGTGGAGCACATGGCCCAGGTATATAATAGTTGCGCGTCTCTCTTGTCTCTCTCTCTCTGATCTTTCGCGTATGGCGTTGAACACGCACTGATGCAGCCCCGGGCAATACTCGCGTCTAGCTACATCCGAGTTATTGCAAAGCTGCCGATGTATATATACGTGCATTATATCACTCGAGTAAAAGGCCGATATGCATTTAAACAGCGCTGCACACACATGGATATTATATAATATCGATGAGATGAGCTCGATTTTTTCTAGCCGATATATATTCCAGGCTGCAGCGTGAATCGGAATCATTAAAATGCGCTGCGGTATTTGAACATTTTTATCCTTCCCTCAAATCCAACGATTGAGTAATGGCATATAAGAAAAGAGCAAAAGGAGTGTGTGTGTAGGCGGGTTCGCTGCAGTGAAGAAGTGAGAGAAAGCCAGAGAGTAAGAAGCTTTCGAGGAAAACATTGGCCTCGGCGCAAAGCAACAATTCTTAGAAAGGAATCAGCGAGAAGCCTTTATCTCACTTCGCGATTCTTCTTCGTGAAGCTGCAAACATTCCAACGCGTATCATTATATATACATATATAGCGCAGTAGCATCTCAGCGAGTCGACGCGCTCACACATACGTATAGCACACTTGGAAATAAAGTCCAAGTACAGCAGTAGCAGCAGCAGTGCCTGCACGTATCAGACGACGGCAGCAGCAGAAGCAGCAAAAGCACGAGGAGCGTCTACACGTACATATAGGATATAAACAGCTATATAGCCAAGCGGACTAAGTTGAAAAACGTGGCGCGCTTGAGCTTTGTGGGCGCGGGGGCTTTAACAGGCAGGGAGGGGGTGGCTGCTGGCTGGCTGACTGCAGGCGCGGCGCCGTCGAGCTGTACTACTGGCGACGTTGTGGCACTCTCTGCTGCTGCTGCTGCTGGCGCGATGGATCCTTTCGTATCATATAGGTATAACGTGCTCGATGTGCAGCAGCAGCAGTGGAGCGGCGTCAGCGACGGTCTGTCTCTCGCGCGCCAGTCAGCCCCGAGCGCTCGACTTGCGCTCGTTGTTGCGGAGTAGTTGCGCGTACTGAGTTCCCTGCTGCTCCGCTCCGCGAATTCATAAACGTGCATAGTCGTGCATGCTCGATCTTGCGCTGCAGCTCTCGTGTCTCTCGGCGGGCCTGTGCAGTGTTCGTGCATAAAATACTAGTGGTGGTGGTAGTAGTAGTAGTACGTTGTAGCATTCGTATAGAGAGAGAGATAGCCGGAGAGGTTTTAGAGAGATAAGCCAGTGCTTTTGTGTCTATGTGCCCGTGTGTGCGGTGCAGTTGTTTTGATCCGTGCCAAACATGACACGATGATAGAGTGCCGGCGTCGCGGCTGCTCCCGTTCCTGCTCGTATCATCGGCGTCGTTTAAAAGCCAAACAGGTGTGTAATTCTGTGATCGTCTCTGCTGCATAATGCCGCAGCAAAATATATGTGTACGCGTTAATATATTTAATATGCACGTCATGCCCGCAAAAGTCCATAAATAATTACACGCGTACCCTCTGATTTGTCGAGTCCATAATGTACATATTTACATTATATACACGCGTGTGTATTACGAGATCGCGTGGCGATACGCGATAACGGCTCGTTATACACGACACACGCGGCTTATTACACACACGCGGCCCTCAACGCTATACGTTCGTATTGCCAAGCTCTGTATTATAGATCGTTATTAGTCGCGCCCCCGTGATTAGCCGCCCTGTACACTTATACTCTCTAGCATACAGACGCGTCGTTTGACATTTATTCGAGAATATTTTCCGCCCCGGTGTCGGAACAGCTCGGCACAAATTAGATCGATACGCGTCTCCGTGCGCGCCAACGATCCTTACCTTGAAGAAAGGAAGAAAATAGAGTGGAGTAGCGTATTGCCCACCAGCTATTATGCAGCTCGCGCGACAAGGTGAAGGTTAATTGCGCGCCCCGCGTACATACCAATAACAATACGCATCCTATTTTATTTCGAACTGAACAGAGCGCGTATCGCGCAGCTAGAGGAAGCTCGACGCAAGCTCGACGCAAGCTCGGCGCAAGCTCGTGAATGCTCAGCACGACAGGAATATGAAAACAAAACAAAAAAAAACAAAATAAAAAAATGTAAAAAAACAAACAAATAAATGACGAATTGTTTACCTGGGAGTCGCGATCGAAGGGTCGCGAACGTATATCGCATGCGAGCGCGTCGTGTGCGTATACGCTGTATACATAACAAACAAAGTGTACACATGAACCGGTCGCTGCTGGCAGGAAGTGTATACATCTCCGATTGCCTTGGGTATTATATCTGCGCGTGGAGGCAGATCGTCATTGTAGCGCGGTGGGATGGAAAGAACCGAGCTCGGCGGCGGCGCGGGACAATGTTTATACATATGCGAAGCTTCGTTTTGTCAGAAAGCTGGCTGTACACGGTATATACACACAATGCACATACACAAATCCAATTGTAAAATAGCACGTGCAGAGATTTCAAATGGACGCGTACTTCGTCGCGTATATATAAATTGCCCCCGAAGCAGCGAATGGCTTGTGTTTGACCTGCCCCAACATATATACATTATTGTTATATAAATATGAAGGAAAGAGCATGTAAAGAATAATTCAAATAATGAAGTGTGCGGGGCTAATGCATTTGTTATCCTTTCGAGAGATTATTAACGGCTTGAACCTGCGGATTTTGCCACATCCGAGTTATTGTGCTTATAACAGCCTACCCTTTTCTCTCTTTCTCGTTTATAATCTGGGAATTACACAGTTTTTAAGACATGTAGAGAGTAGCCGCGCGCGCGTTCATGCGTGAAAATTATTAGTTTTACGAATCGTACAAACATATTATGTCGCGCTAGAGGGAGGGCGAGAAAGAGTATAGAAGAGATAGAGCGTGCTCAGAGTTGCATAAGCATACAGCAAAGCTGTGAAAATTCATTTTAAATCGAATTCGCCAGCAGCAGTCGTATATGCAAGCGCACACGAAAATTCCATTTACGAAAATTGGGTGACGTAACTCATGTATACATATCGCGAATATGTGTACGTAGCAGATTCATATACACACGTACGTACAAACACCTCCCTAGGCAATGTTTAATATAGCACTGAACATGCACACAACTACATATTCGTACACACGGCTCGTTTTGTAGCTTAATTTATGTTTACTCGCGAGATCTATGAATATTTTTCACGGCAATGAGGCGCGCGGCCGAGACCTAAACTTTGTCCTTACATACGATTATTTTGTATAGCAGAGGTAAATTCTCCGACGACATTTTCATGACTCGGGCGCATTTCAAGCTCGACTCAAGACTGCAGCAATTATATGAGATAAAAAAAATTTTTTTACCGGGATTCATTGGAAAATCATGTGCACACATGCTCAAGACGTCGAAGAGAACAGTCAAGTGTCTCGTCTATTGTCGCTGGCACAACGGAGTTGACATTTTTTTACGTAAACCCTCGATCTTCGACATTTTTTATATTGAAATTTTTCTAAGAACTCGTCCTATGATATTTTAATAAAATTCTGATTTATTGCATTCGTATATATGTATTTGGCTCTTTGCCTCGGAAAATCTCGCTTCGCGCATAAGAAGAAAGGCTTTAACTCGGCAGCTTGCACGAAGCTATAAAGCATTTTTTTGTGCGCAGCTGCCGCTGCTGCTGTGTGCATTGAAGTGTGCCACAGCCAGGCAGTGAATGGCCTGTTAATTTTTAATTGGCTCGAGTCCTAAAAAAGATCGCGAATAAGTTAAGACTGGACTTTTCTCCCTTTCTCTCTCCCCCGTGAAATATGCATACTATATCTATGTGTATACGAAGATACAAACGCCCGAAAAAAGACTGTATTAAAGAGTAAAGTTGGAATTAACGAGGTGAATTTCCACTACACCTCAGACGGGCGAGTCCGTTAAATTTTTTATTTACTTCTCCTTTTTCTCGCTCTTTCTCTTTCTTATGCACACCACTCACGATGATGCCCCTTGGGTTGTTGAGCTCTTAATCGCCGAGAGAGAGAAAAATGATATATAGCTCAAACTCATTGGTCTTAACGACTTGCCGGTATATATAATCGATATGATTTCATTTCTCTAATGACGAGCTCGCGGTTTTTAACCATGGCATTTTAATTAAAGAGACTATAAGGCGTTTGAGTGTTGATAAACGCATATATCATGCATTAAGCTTCGAAAGCTACGATGAAAGATACGACGTTCTTGGCCTCTTTCAATCTGCTTTCGAAATATAATCGAAACTACAGAGGAAAGAACGCATCTCTCTCTCTCTCTCTCTCAGCGATTCCAAAAGCTATATATATTATACATACACGCAATACTACACGTCCCGAGGCGTACATGCCAACGTAGAAAGAGAGAGAGAGAAGAAAATCGATATTAGCACGTGGAGCGCGCCGGAATGAAATTATTTTTTCAGCTCGTGCTGAGAAATTTTAGCCGCTTTGCAGCGGGCGTCGACAATTGGCAGCGAGCGACGTGTAATTCATTCATCCCGCTCTTTTGATATATTATATCTATACACACAAAGCCGCTATTGTGCATTGCAGTCGAGTGCGAGCATTTCAGAAAACGGCATTATAGCAAAGTTCCATGACTTGAAAAACGTGCTATTCTGACGCGCGCGCCATTAGGCAATGAGACGTGTACGTATACATACAGACAAAGACGAATACTTCATATATAACGAACTTTTGAGGCGCGTGCAGCTAAATTAGGCGCACGCTACCAACATTTTTTTGTTTCGCATGCACGTTATAGAGGAAGAAAGTATGTAAGCGTAGAAATACTCGGAGGAATAAATTTTGAGTGTTTTGCACCGTAGAGTCGCTTTTTCGAGTTGGCTTCTATAATATTCGGATGAATAGATTTTCAAGTTGACACAGCAATGTAGTAGTCCTAGTTTTGAAGCTACATCGTGTACATTTTACTTTGCGCGCATATATACTGGAGAACGTCAGAAATATACTCGAAGCAACATTTTCGAAAAAACGCTCTAAATTTATTATTTAAATATATAGTTATCATTATATACGATACGGAATAAATTGATGAATGTAAATGGGATTCGCTTTTGCGCGATGAATATAGAATCACTGCATATAATATATATAAGAGAGGATAATATAGATGGGTCGCGGGCGCGCGCGGCACTGCGGCGGTCGCATTCGTCATGCATTATTCAAATATTATATACCCTTAAGTTGTACACGCTATTCTACGTGTTTAAAGTAAGTCGACTCGAGATAGAGAGAGAGATGCAGCGCAGGACTTCTCGAGACGACAAAGCTCGAGCATGGAATACAATGTGTCTCTCTATTTCGAGAGTAAAAAAAACATGTTTTTTACCATTCCCGATGAAAATGTCAAGGTTGTATACGATTACGCTTTACATATTTTTTTGGCGCCAACAGTCAAGTGTCACGATAATATTGATTTTTCATCCTCGACTAGGTTTGAAGCGATACGAACTACAAGGCGCTTTGGGTATGACTCGTCACTCGTACCGTATGAGAAGTTAACTCGTAAAGAACGAACTAGCGACGCGTGACTGACCGCGCTAATTTTGGAAATATAAACTTCTCATATATGATTAAGCAGCAATCCGTTTAGGAAGCGTCGAATTAAACGAAATTAATTATTCGCGATAATTTTACAAAAATCATGTTTTTGGGGGTAGTATAAACCAGAATAATCACTCCAGTCAAAGCAAATTAATTAATTAGATTTATTTATTTAATTGAAATTAAATCAATTTAAATGATCAAATTGAATGGAATAACTTCTGTTTAATATATTCATTTATTTAAACTTTAATTTTCATTATAATTTTCTAAAAGTTTCACTTGCACTGATTTTATGAGCTATTTGATTTTACCAACAGATGGAGTATTGTAAATTCGTAAGTGGCAAAACCAATTTTTGATTAGTATAAATACGCATAATCTAGTCAAATTGTTGGTTAGTCTCATTTATTGGTTTGGAAGAGGCTTCGTTATACTATGTAAAATATTTCCGCATTTGACCGCAGGAAATCTATAGCTCATTTAGGCGCGCTCTCAAATTCGCCAGCCTTTAGACTTTGACTCGAAAAAGGAAATTCCATATAGGCATATTACATAAAAGATAGGCGTAGGCGTGTGTATGCGCGTGATAACCGATGCAATGAATGCCAGCTCGTCGAGTGAATCGCGCTATTATCACGAGAGCTGTCGTGGATCGTTTATGTATTATACACGGCGCGTGTGCCAAGTGCGTGCGAGGGGGCGCAGAGAAAGTAGTATAACTGCGAATATGGGTCGACACGGCGCGTCGCGCTCTCTTGCGAACGTATACGTGTATCCACGATTCGTGTTTATTTGTGTATCCGTACATATATAAATATTATATACATGCGTATGTACGTACACACTCGTATCGGACGTGCATGTACGCTATCGCGGATTCGCTCGGGCTTATCGCTTTGCCACCTGTACGCATCGAAATTTAATCACCAAAGTTATTATTCACGAGAGAGAGCGAGAGAGAGAGAGAGAAAGAGATAAGCGCACGTGTGCGTTTGTGTATGCTTACGCAAACTAGCTCGTAGTTCGCTCTCTTGATTTATGCTCGAGCATTTCGTGATTTCACGTCGTGATGCTCGAGCGGCTAGGTATACGCACACGCTGATTCGGTGCGAATTTTTAATAATATTCCAAAGAGAGAAGAGTCAAAATAATCGGAAAAATAAAATAAAATAATGAAGCGGCAATTGAATTTTGCCGAGAAGGTGCACAACGCGCGCGAAAAAAATACACCTATATTATAACGTTGGAAAATTATAATTCGGAGTTTCTTATATTGGGAGCTTTTGTTATTATTACTCGCGCTCGCGCTCGCAACTTCGTTATGTAAATTGGATTGGTTCCAGAGCAGCGTCGAGTGAGCGAGAGAGAGCGAGGCCCCGCCGCCGATGTATACAGGCTGAATAATTGACAGTTAGCATTGATAATCGTTGAATTATTAACGGGTAAAGTCATTTGGGACGCGTTCTGCACGCAAGAGCAGCTGCACGTTCGTTATAAATGTGCCATAGTATGTGTGTGTACTCATCATAGCGTCTAGAAAAGTCTAGAAATAAGAGAGCGACGTTAAAAACTCCGTACACGCTCGTTTGTTTATTGCGAGCGCGTCGCGCGATGTATTATAGACACCGTATACACGTATGTACGAACGAACGAAACAATAAAAGGACATTTCTCATCGACAGCTGCACGAATTGCAACTGGAATTGTGTAGACGTGTGTGCGTGTGCTATACGAGTGCGCGCGAGCGTATCCCATTCAGTCAATAACTCATTAATCATCGCATACGCGTAGCGAGCCACAGTTCTGTCTGACAACAGAAAAAGTTACTTGCTATACGTATGTGTTCACGGGTGTACGAAAGCGGAAGTAAAACGATCGGAATGAATTGCGATGCTACTTTACGATCGAATCACGCGCGTAATTATTAACATATTGGTCTTCCGAAAAAAAATGAATGTAGATACAGCTGAAAAATGCCCGCGGATGAGCTTTGATGGTTGTTGTTTTTCTTTTCCTGTTTTAAACCGTAGACGCTCTGATTCTTGTAACGCAAATGATCTACAACTCGGCGTATCGTACAAAGTGAAGTAGCAGCATCAGCTGCGGCTTGTATCTCTAGAGGGAAGATGCTGCTACTTCTCCTTATGCACCACTCGCGCGCGCACGCCTGCGTATGTATGTGTGTGTGTGCAAGTGTAATTAAGCCATTTATGAATAAAATTCTTTCCACTTTCTTTAACCGAGAATTTCGCTAGAAATTGTACCGTGCAGGCCATACACAAGCACCCGCGCGCACTGTGATTTATCACTGTGGATGTTTTTAAAACTCTATCTCGCTGCGCTTTGAGCTTATATCATCGTACGTGTAGCAAAGGTCGCGCACGCAAAAAGCTTGATTTAAGTTTTAAAAATTGCTTTGGTCAATAATCACGAAATTAAGTTTTTTTGAAAAATTAGTATCATTTCCTTGTTTTTTTTTTTTTTTTTTTTTGAGGTTGCTTCACATGGAACTAGGTTATTTGAGTTTAATCCAAGTCATTATTTTTCAGTCGGAATTACATTACGGAAAGTAACGCAGCGCTTCATTTACCCAGTATAATATTAATGAATATTTCAAAAGTGCAAATATAGAGACATCTCCCTTTTCTTTTTTGGCTTTGAAAAAACTTACATCGAGTATCACTGGAGAAAAAAAGTAGAGTAAAGAGCCCGCTTCAAAGTTGGAAAATTCATTTTTGAGATTATTTTCCACTTACCATGTTAATAAGCCCTGGAAGAGCAAAGAGCCTTTATATGTAATAAAAATGAACATTTTATTAATTATATGAAATTACATCCTCATGATTTTCACATTAATTATTTAACGAAAATACAGTAAGTATACGCTGCGGTTAACGCATAGTCTGCGTGAATCGCCATGGGCGGCTTATATACGCGGCTCTGGAATTATTCGAAAACCCCCAAAATAGATTAGCGCTAACACCGCGGGCCTTTGAAAAAGGAATTTCGATTCGTTCTTTGACTCACCGCAAGCTTCTGCCGCGCGAATAAAGTCCGTGGCGTATACGGTGCGATGCGCGCTTTATACACTCGATAAAGTAAATACCGCGTCGAAATCTTCAACGTCGATGGACCTATATAATTGAAAAATATTCCGAAAGAGCCAAACTTTCGCTTCGCGGCTGCGCTTTCGATATATATAACAGCGCAATAAGTTTCAAAACAAGTTACGTGGGAGTTTTAGCCGCCTCCTCCGCCGCCATGCCGGGGCTGCAATCAGCGTTGAGTAGCGAGACCTACTTTCGGGCGCGATGATTCACGGTCAGTCTTTAACTTTTTGATGAATACCAACAATGAATATTGTTGCTCGAATTCCCGATTATTCACGCGAGAATCACCGGGGAAAATTAATATATTTAATGTAAAATTTTAGTCCGAGAGAGAGAAGAGCAATTTTGCCCTCAATGGTTTGCTTTCAGTTATGGAGATACCATAGCCAAGTTAAAGATAGTAATTTGAATAAATCTTTTTCTGAGATTATTACTGAATACTTTTACCAATTCAATAATAGTACGGTTCAGAATCTTAATGAACACCAATATGATTGATCTATGATCTTATTGATTTTTATGAGGTGCTAAAGCCACAATATTGTAAAGATTCTCACAATGTAGTCATGTAAAATGAGTTTCTTAATTTATTTTGACTTTCTTTTGGTGTATTTTCTTGAAGTTTAAGCTTTTCGATTCTACCAATTGATGGAGTATTGTAAATCTGCAAGTGACAAGACCGATTCGATTGGTATAAATACGCAAATCTTTATCATAATCCGCGTAATTTCATCCAATATATTCAAACTGTATTAATTAATTGTAGATTGGAACAGATCTCTAGTTAATCACCCTAGATGGTACAAGGACAACTTGGGTTAAGGGGATTGAATGCCAAAGCAAGAAGCCTAACGAAAAGCCTTCTTCGCAATAGCGTTGATTTCGTTGTCTTTTGGGGCAACAATAGTAATAATAATAATAATAATAGCGATTTAAAAAAGCGCAAGATAAATAGGTATTGAAATTCTTAGGAATTTTTAATTAAAGAAGATTGAATTAACAAAACCATGATTTAATTGTAGATTTTTCAAATATTGACATTATTCTTATATTTCTAATTAATTTCATTTTTTAAATTCGTACACTCTAAAAAATAGCGTAGCATTGAATCATCTTTTTATACACGAATAAAAAAACAAGTTTTTCCTATAATTTTACGTCATTTTTCAATGTATTTTGTCAATCTTTGCATCGAAAATATGATTTTCCAATACAAGCAAAGCTCTTAGATCTTGCGCGCTTTTCCCATCAATTTACCTGTAGACCCTTGAATATCACCATGAAGCAACGCGTGAAAGTGTGCCTTTGTGCTCGCTACTCTTATATATAATTAAAACATTGAAGAGCACATCATTTTTCCTCAGGCTCGAGTTTTCTTGACCCGAGTGCTTAATTAACTTTTTTTTTTACTCCTCATTGTTTTCTCGTCAGATCGAGAGGGAAGTAGCAGTAGCAGCAGCAGCAACAGAACCAACAGTCATAGTCGAGAGGATGAGCGTCTGACAGCCAACAAAGGGTTCCTTCGTTCGTGCCAGCTGAAGTAACGATGAATCCTGAAAATGAGGAAGTAAGTGTATACTTTTACTAAAGCCTCCTCGTCTTCTGAGCGGAAAATTATATTTAGTTTATGCATACAGCAAATGTATATATATCTGATTAATGATACAGCCCGTGTTTTATTACGGCCAAGCGAAACTCGACTACTATTATGCGCGACGCGGAAAAGATTTGCGCAAATAAACGCGGCTGAAGAACTCTAATTTGTGTACTTTGCGCGCGAATTCATTCAACGAGTCGTGTAAATATTATGCGCGCGCGGCTGAATTTGCGACGCGTGTTCATAATATAGCTGCAGCTAGACGATAAGGGTTATTTGATCAACTGGTGTAAGCCAGTCGAAAATGGCTCGAAAAATCACGTCATTAAAAACTAATCAGAACTTGGTGTACTTTGTATATTATATATCTGTAGGGTCGAGTCGCGCGAGTTTGTTGCCAATCATACGCGCGCGTATCCTCGCTCTTTGTTAGCCGAAAGTTTGTTTTTGGCCTGTAACTTTGGTGCCGCGCCGCACACGATTCCGTTCGCTGCCGTATTTACCGTAGCGTCACACACACCCACACACACAATGCAATTACATCGGTATACATACTGCGTCGCACAACGCAACGAACATATAACGAACAAGAAGGAAATTTCGCAGCAAAAGCCAGTACCGCAAACGCTGTGCGGAGCCCTGCAGAAAGAGGCCAACTGCAAGTGCCTCGTGCTCTCGGTCCTGATCTACGGCTGCCTGGCCGCCGTCACCTGGTGCAGATGCGCCAACGTAACCAAGGTTCGTTATCCATGCATTATATATACATCTTATTATCGGTATCGCTATCTTGTCGTATGCACATAATGATATAAACCTGCTTGAGTGTGTCTGTGTGTGTGTATATATATTTGCAAGCAGCTGATTCGCTTCCGATGATCCTATAGTAGGCGCGAAGCCACACATGCGCTCGCTCTCTGGAGGTTCTGAGCCACCGCCGAGGCTGTGTGGCTCAATTTCCACGCGCTTGTTCAAACAGACCTGGGAAATTGTAATCTTCCTTGTAGTTTATGTATACATAACTAGCCACGCGCGCAGCACACATATACACCGCACAGATCGCAACGCACCAACGGCAAGCTTTGTTAGAATGTAAAATCCAATCCTATGTATATGTGAATGTGTGCGTAAGTTCACTCGAGTGCACGCTATTGTGGGGGTTTCGTGATTAATTACCCTTTCTCGGCGTACACACACACACACAGACACACAGACACACCCTCGCTCGCAAAAGGATGTATGCATGCTGTATAGCTATTCCAAAGCCGAGAGCGAGTAGTGCTTTTGCATAGGGCGCACAGAAATTGAACGGGATCGCCTCTCTGTGATTTTCTCAAGTAATGCCTTGCAATGCCACAGTATACTCTAGATAAACACTTCTCTCTATATCTCTCTCTGTGTGTATAGTTGCAATATAGACTACCTTCCCGCATCTTTTTTCTTTTTACAGATAGTTTTTAATTTTACAACGTTTCCAATCAAGAGCACAAAACACGTTTCACCCTGCGAAGATGGATACATTTACATTCCTGTAAGTCGTCCTTCAAAAAAATTTTCTGCTTTCATTCATCGTCGAGTTTTATAGTTGTTTCTATTTCGAAAAGGCTGTGAATTGAGAGTATCTTCCACTTCTTCTTCTTTTTTACGCGAAAGTGCGGCAAAAATGCAGACGTGTACAGTCGTTAGAGAATATTGCACGGCTATGCGAGGCGAAGAAAAAAAAATAGCGTAACGAACTCGAGTGGAAAAGATAATGCAGAAAACAGGAATAATACCGGTAAGAAGAAGGAAAAAATTGTAAATAGCTGCTCGAAATTACAGATTGAAGACAGTTGCATTCAAATAAGAGCCATCTCAAGTAATTTCATGAATGGTTTTACAGCTTTTTTCTTAAAAGATCAAAATCGCGTTGATGACTAAGACATAGAAACATTCTTTTATACCTTTTTTTTTATAAGTTACGAGCGATTATAACAAGTGGACGAGGTTTGAAAGCTCAAACGAAAAAGCCGCGCACAAAGGGATTAATTCCGATAAACTGGTTGAGTCGAAAGTCGGCTGAATTAAACGACATTACAAACCAGAGTTCAACAAAGTATATGGTATATAGCTACCGCTAACGCGGAAATTTCAAAAGTCTAAAAAATTTCCCGTAAGAGCGAGGGCAGAAAGTATGCTATGAAACGAAAATCAATACGAATCGAATATGTCGAGCTTACATACTTGGCTTGTTACAAAAAAAGGAAGAAAAAATGTAGAACTGTTCGATTTTTGTCGATGTGAAAGAGGATAGCAGCAGCCGCCACTGCCGGATGAAATATGTGTGCCTCTATATTGAACTGCGGGCGGACGAACAAATAATTGATTTTGATCGACGTCTCTTATGTTTGATTGTTTTAAAAACTATATTTCGCTAACGTGTTTTTTTATTATTATCAAAAAAAATGTGCGTGCGATCCATATTAAATGCCGATAGTGCAAGACAGTAATTGTTTTCGTCAAATAAAGGTAACAAAAAAAATTGTAAACCCAATAAAACGAGCTGCTTCACCGAGCTTCAAAAACAATTGATGAAGTTTTGAACGTGAATGTAGCGATTCTCTCTTTACTCTCTCGGGTGCGCTAGAAACAAAAGCATCAGTCGCTGGAAAACTTTTCGTAAAATTCATCATCGAACTTAATCGTAATGATGCGAAATATTTAATGCGTTGCGTACGCACGGCCATAATCTGCTTCGAGGGCCATAACGAGTACAGACTGTGTGACTTATTCTCCCTAGTGCTAATTAAAAGTAATTAAACTCAGTGGAAATTTTGCTTTTGCAGTAGCTGCCTCTGCACGCGGGGCTCGGCAGAGTTGAAAATCTCTCGCTCTGTAATAATTTTACGTAGCTAATTTGATGTAGTCCATTTTGTAGAGGAAAAAAGCGTGTAAAACATAAAGACAATGAGAGTTTTAATAAGCTTTGATAAGTCAAGTATGGTGTCCGCGAAATTTCGTCCATGCGACTTCAAAAGGAGCACTCGTTGAATATGTATTTCAAAACATACGTACGGAATAAATTTTCGTTTGAAAGCTCTTAAACTTTCAACGCGCAGTGCTTAAATTTATCCGATAGAAAAAAAATCGGTTTGAAATTTTTATCTCTCATACTCGAGGTAATACGCAACAACTTAATTTTCTATATGCGAGTGTTCGCGAGTGTTCATAAATGGCTCTCACAGTCCAAAAAAAGCTTTCACGTCCAGTCGGCGCGGCGCACATGTATATATATAAAAGCACACTTATATTCACCCGTGCACGGGAAAAAATGAAAAATTGGATTATAAACGCATTTTATAAGAAGAGCTAAAAAGAGGGAAAAACGAAAAAAAAAGATGAATTGAAATAAACAAACAGGTGGCGTTCATGGGTATGCTGTACCTGGTGTACCTCGTGGAGTGCTATCACTCGCCGATACGCATCGACCTGCTGCACGCCGAGAGCCAGAGCGGCGTACTGGCCAGACTGACGCAGCTGAGACTGGCCCAGCCCACCATCTGGTGGAAGGCCATCTCGTACCATTACGTGCGCAGGAAGCGCCAGGTCATGCGCTACCGCAACGGCGATAATTTCACCACTACGCAGGTGAGTTCATTATCGCACAAATTGATTCGACTTTTCGGTGTTTTCGAGCGTGTGCAGTTGCGTCATTGTGGCTGCGATATATTTTCTCGACCGAGAAATAATTGATCGGTCGGATACGATTTATATCCTCTGGCTTGCGCGCACGTGTATACAGAGACAATTGACAGGAGAAAATACGTTTTTACCCGGAGCTTTTTACTGAGAGACGCGGATGTAACGGAGATTTATCTTTCATCCGATTACGATGACTATCGTATAATATATATATAACACAGCACAAACACACCGAATGAAATTATCTTCCCGTTCGTCTTCGCGGAGGCGAATCAAGAGCTCACTTTATTTTCTATGAAATATGAGACGCATAACTTATAACGTTCGCGTGTCTTATATATTATCTCTCTGCATGCGAGCGAGAGAGAAAGAGAGAGAGAGAGAGCAAAGGTAAAACGTCGTATAAAAATTGTGCACTCAGAGTGGAAGGAGGAGTAGGAGAAGCAGCCTATGAGCTGCAGGAGGAAAACTTTACTAACGCGCCGAGAGGAGAGTGCACGCGGGCCTAGAGCTCTAAAACCATTTATGGAAAATGAGCCCGGTGAGATCTAGAATAAAACTCGCGCGCGTACAGAAAAAAATCATCGAGTTCGTAACAAGTTGCCACGCGCGGGCGCGCTCGTGGGGGCGAAAGAAGTAAAACTTTCATGTATATATAATACACTTGCTCAGGGCGTGCATACGAGCATAAATTGCGCGCGAGCGAGCTAGCAATTTTTTCCCCTCCACGATTGCCGCGCAGCAGCAGTTTGAATGAATTACTTTTTTTTCCCTTCAATAACCTTGTGCCGGCTGTCTATACACGTCGTCGCGCGTAATTCGAAGTGGTTGGGCATAATTTGCTATTAGTGTAGCGAGAAGAGAGATGAAGAAAAATGATTACGCCGCGCGTATAAAGCCTCGGCTACTGACAAATATTAGAGCGGAGGAAATATCTCATCTCAATTTCTCGAGGAATATTATATAGCTATATCGTAGTTTTCATTAGTTGATTACTTATATACGTTCTCGAGGCGGATACTTCAGTGAGCGAGTTAATTCGAATATTTGATTTTTTCTTTTCTTTTTTTTTTTTTTTTGAATAAATAAAAAAAAGGAGCCAAACGATCAAACTTTTTTTGAACTTTCGAAGCACGTGCGCTAGTATACAGTATAAACATCGTACAAACGTTTAATCGGCTTTTCCTTTCACGTATATTCCAATCCGTTCGTATGTACGTATGCGCGCCGCTCGAATTAATACTTTCGATACGTTTATTATAGCAATCTCAACCATCGTTTCTATGGGGCGCGCTATCATTCGCGTCATCATAAAAGCTCCTTGTATATAGCCAATCCTTCATTAGTCACGAAAATGCGCACCGTGTAATTTATGATACATCCCCGACCCGAATATATAATAAAATGAATACCGTATAGTATTATATAATACGGCAAAGTCTGAATTCAGCGGTGTGAAAGATGTCAGTTGCAGAGGCGGCTGTAAGCTCCGTTTTGGGAAATATTTATTCGCTGCTGCCACGTGTGCATATATCGTTACGTGCGCGTATATATATTAAACGAGGGCACAAAAGTTTCCAACATCTATACACGGTTACGCGCTTATCGAACGATGCGACTTTACGGTTAATTCATCGATATATTTTTAGAGAGAGAATGGAGAGCACTTCAATTGTAATTGAACAAAAGGAGCTTTTTTGGCCACAGTCGATGAACTTCGTTCGGTGAAGTAAAAAAATTGGCAATTGAGATCTTTCCGTACGTACAGAGACAAATTGAGCTAGATTTTTCTACAATTAACGAGCTTGCAAGCTCAAAGAAAAACGATAGGGAGAGGGCGACGTACGTAGTCTATACTCGAGAGCGCCGACAAGGGAATAGATAAATACCTTCGGTTTGTTCTCTTTAAAACACAAGTCAGTGGGCGCGCGGTACACTAACTCTACACACTGTCGGCTCCATAGGCCACTCCAATCAATGAACATCGATTAGGACACACACGCGCGCGCACACGAACACACCGAAACACTCGACGAAGCAACCGGATCTCGGACTTGAAACGCCGTTTACACCAAGTCTCTCGGCTAGGAAATTGAAATTCAACTCGACTCGCTATTTCTCTTGGGTGCGCGCACGTAGAATTAATACCCGCCGCAAGTTGGTGGCACTGCACTGAAGCATTATATGTACAAGATGACGCGCGAGTAAAAGCTGCACGAAAAAGAACTTGACGAAACTTTCCGCACGCTCGATCCTACTCTATCGATAAGCATAGAATGAAAATTAGAATGTTCAAAGAATCTTTATTATTAAGGTTCTTTAAACTTTAGTTACTGTCAACGATAAGGACTTTTTCAATTATGGATAAACAACCTTAGTGAAGATTCTCTATATTAATAACAGTCTAATAACCAAAAACTTACAATTTAAAATATTTTAAAATACATTAATTGTTTCATTACATCAATTGAATTAATTGGGTTATTTTCGGTGATTTTTTTATTCCAATTATATTATGAATACAAAATGCATTTTAAATGACTTGAAAATAACTATTTAAGTGTTTTAAAAAATGTAGACCAGTTTTCGACCTCTTTAAGTAAAATAATATTGCTTTAACTCTCCACCACTAGATGGCGAATACCTATATCTGTAAATCTGCAAGTGGCAAAGTCAAAATAATTGTATAAGTGACGTTTATATTGTGATATTAGACATCTCACGATCGAATAATATTGTCAAGTTCCGTTCCACGTGAGGGTTAAAAATAAAATCAAAAATTTGTTCAATTAACAATGATGTAAAATTTTCTTCGTCTGTAACGCATGAATACCACAAAGTCAGCTCAAAAGCGTTTTCACGTTGTAATGAAAGCTTAGACGGGCATTAAAGGTCTAGCTCGCTGTTCGACTGTAATAGCCAGCGTCGTTTGTAGATATTTGTCTGATTCAAGTACAATAATACCAAGACTCCTGTCAAGCTCTCCCCGCGCATTCTACTATCGAATTCAGACCACATCCGCGCCCCATATTTAAAACATGCTATTGACCAAAAAATTTGAAATTAACAAATTTAATTTAATTGCCGTTTTATACTTCAAACGTAGACAATTATAAACAACTATTAAAAAATGTGTTCGAAATCCATTTTATGCCTAAGAAATTTTTTTTGTTAGCCATAAAATGTTGAGCACTTCTACCAGTGAAATAAAACATTCAATATTTGATTGCAAGAAAGTCACAATGCCTCCCACATCGTTATCAGACATCGAACTTAAGCGTGGAAACGTGCGTGAATGTTATCTAGCGCAACCATTCCGCCGTCGCCTTTTTCACTAATTTTCTTCTTTAGCGAGAATCGAGCTATACAGACGCGCACTGCGTTATGAATTAAAACGAGCGCGTGCGTATGCAACGAAAATAGAGTCGAAATGAAAAGGCCAGATGTACGCTTCGTCACTTCGCATAATTAATTATTTGCCCTGCAAACTTCCTAGCGTATATAAACGTACACATGAGTATTAATTGAATGAAGGCCTTTTTTATATAGCTTAGGTATATATAAACGAGTATATATATGAAAATGCGCGTGCTCACGCTCGTAACTTTAAGTCTTTTTTGCGGCGAGGCGTGTATTAACTCTCTCGCGTGCTCGCTCCTAGCAGCTACGTAGCATTGGATTTTTCACTACTTTGGCCTTAAGTATAATTTATGTTCATTGTCGCCGTCCCACTCGGGCGGGTGGATGGACTTGATCCTGTGCAGGTATACTACGAGCGAGTCAATTCTCACGCCGCGACGTCGTTTTACTTTTACGACTACTGCGGCTCGAAGGATATCAGCAAGGAGCTGTTGCTGGACCCGAAGATACCCATCACCAAGATTACCCTGTCCAAGGGCTTCGCCTTCTCGAACGTGCGCTCGGCCACCGAGTTCGAGGAGGCGAGGTCGAGATTCTTCGCCGAGCAGGTGGGTTATCATATAATTATATACCACAAAAGGAATTTCTGTCTCCTCCGACATAAAACGCTGACGAACGATATGGGATACGAAAGAAAAAAATGAATGAACTTTGTCGAAGGAGTTCCGAGACGACTACATGGAGATGCGCGAGGGCCTCGACCTCGGGGTGAACTTCAGCCCGGTGACGCTGGTCTCGGTGCTGGGCAATCCCTGGTTCACGCGCTCCTACGTGTACTGGTGCCTTAGCGCTCTGCTGCTCTCCTGGCCGCTGCGCATCATCATCGAGTGCAACACGCAGTACGTCAACTACCAGGTGACGAAGCTCTTCGGCGTCAATTACGACACGCCGACCAACATACAGATACACACGTCGGCCTCGCAGCTCTCGGCGCCGGGCTCGTACATGCTCGCCCCGTCCTACAGCGAGGCCCTGCTCATGGAGCCGGCGGCACCACCTCCCCAGGCAGCTACTGCTGCTGCTGCTGCTGCTACTGCAGCTACGGTGGAACAACAGCAAGCGGCGGCGACAGCGAGCAACCAAGTACCCTCGGATATGGTACCGAGCTACTCGGAGGCGCTGCTCTATCAACCGGTCGTCGACATCGCGAAAACCATTGCGGCCACGGGATGCGAGTGTCCGTGTCACAGCCTGGGAGCAGCGACGAGTACTGTTTCCTGCGCGTCCAACGAGAGCTTACAGATTCCTACATCTTCGAGAGACGAGAGCTCCGACCTACCGGTGAGTTTTCGACGTGAAACATCGATGCATAATGAATGAGTGCTTACTCTTAAAATCAGAGTAGTTTCTTGAGCATTAATGCACCAGATGTGAAACATGGATGCTTGTTTCAGAATTTTTTGAGTTTTCTTCTTTTTTCTTGATTTTTTAGTTCCTAGTTTGGTTTTTTTTGTTTTGACTATTGCTTGTTTGATTCATGTTTTTTACTTATTTGATTGATCAATTTTTTTGTTTTTATTTTATTTAGCTTGGAACTTGTAATTCTTTAATTAGTTTATAAAGATGTTTCATGTCTTGCAGCTATGCATAAACAGCTGATTTTTTCATTCGTATTATTTTAAATTTTTTAAATTTATTTTCGAATTTTTAGTCACCGGATCACCTCAAGATAGTGCCTTGAATACTCGAGAGAAAATTTTACTTGCTTTCTCCATATGTTCGACAAAAATTGTCCATAATTTTGAATTGTATGAAATAGATACGCTGGCTAGTTTTTAGATGTCTGCGCCGATATTGGGTGATAATAATAAATCGTATGATATATTGTGATCATTTTTGATACCTTTAATACTATTCGACCCGGTTCCCAGCCGCTTGCGGGTACCAGAAAATATCGCTAAATAGACATCTAGCGTCAAAAAAGCTAAGTGCACAGCCTACACGTACGTATTACGCCTAAATATAGAGTGCCTTTTTTAACTAAAGACCGTAGTGAAAGTTTTATGCGATGATTGTAAAAGAGGAGCAGTTAGATTTTTTAAGACAAAAAATGTGGGAAATAATAGAAATTAGTTAAGGTATATTTCAAAAATAAAAATTGTTTCCCAATACTTTTTTTACGTTATTGTACTTCTATTTTATGCTCACGGTTTTGATGTTGATACAAATAAAGTAAGTTATTATTTTTGAAGCTACTTATCAATTAATTGGCAGCGATATTTTTATGCTTAGAATTTCCGGGCGTGTCCCATCGAGACAGAACGAGCCATTAGGCACGATTCCGTTGAATCGCTCGTTGCAGTTTGAACGAAATCCGGGCTGCAGATCATTCCTTATCTCAAACTCACGGTGCGGTGCGCCCGTTATTCAAAGTCCATTATGCTTTTTGTTATATACAGGGAGATTCGCGAGCGGGCAGCTCGAGTCAGCAGCAACAGTCGGCCGAATCCAACGCTCGCATTTGTAATGACTGCCTCGGCGCTCGGCCTCAACGTACGGCAACGACGGACCATAAGCGACGGCGCATCGGCCGCGACTACTCCGAGCCGGATCTGCGACGGAGCGCCGAACTGCTGCTGCTGGCCGAACTGGTCAACAACGCCACGAGGTGCAGCGGTCGGAGCTTGGAGAACATCGTCGAGAACGTCGCAGAAGAGTCGTCTCTCGAGGCGTCGGGCAGCGACGGCCCGGCAATCGTCCCGATCAATCCACCGGGCGAGAGTACGGGCGCCATACCGAAGCAGCGCCCAAGACTGCAGGCCAATCCGCTGGCCAACGAGCGTCCGCTGCCCAGCTCGGCCAGCAGCAGCGCTTACCTGTGCTTGAGGTCGATTCTCAAACAGAATCGACGCAAGTTCAATCGGGAGACGTTGGAGGAATTGCAGAGTCTCACGCGATCGGCTGCCGATGACGATAATGGCAACGACGACGACGAAGACAGCTGTGATTGCACGGGATGCAGAAGTGACGCATCGGCGATCGAGAGGCCGGACTCGTTGATGATCAACAATATCCAAAGACTGCCGAGTTGCCAGTTCTCGGTCAGGAGGGAAAATTCCAGGTGAGACGCGTGTTACGTACGCCGAATAAAATTACCCACGCAAAAATCAATTTTTAATTACGTTCTAAACTCGTCCATAAATTATCGATTAGTATACGTTTATCGAATGTATCGCGTCAATCGAAAAAATCATATTTTTGTCATTGATTTTAATGATTACAAGTAGTAGGTCTTATTTATGACGTAGACACTCTGAGAAAAATATCAGAAATACATCTTAACCGTTCAACGTCATAACTTTATTGAAAATCATTCTTCTCTCAATTCAAAAGAGCTGAAAGAAAAGGGAAAAAAATCGATTCAACAGTGCATCACATGGTTGTGTGAGCTCAGAGAGCTTGCGATGATATGAAAAAATATCTGAGAGTCGCTGCACAGGAGTTTTTAACTTGATTCGCGCCTGTGTTTTAAAAGGTATGCGCGTGCAAGGTCGTTATTCAGCTAGTGCCTGCTCAAATTGTAAACGATACTGATAAAAACTTGATATGTAATTATAAGGTCTAAGAGATTTGTATTTAATTATAATCTAATTCAACTTATCATATGCAATATGTTTTGAATATTATACACCGTTTATGTACTGTATGTTAGGGCACGAGTGTACTACTTTTTGTCCATTGAAATCATATATACAAGACGCGAAGTCCGTACGCGTGTCTGTGTAATTGGCAAACTTCGAGTCGAGACAAGTTAGTGATGAATCCAAAGCAATTCGACTCCGTGATACACAACGGTTCAGAGAGATTTAGCCGCACGCCGCATGGCTGAATTCAGTTAACTGTTGGGTCGAATTATCCATTATAACAATGTTATTTGCGCAATTTCAATCGTAAAGAAAAGTCGGAAAAAATTACTCAATAAGCTTCTCTTTGGTAGGTTCTTCAATGCCGAGTACTCTAAACAAGGCACGGACAGCTTGTTTAAATTTTTATCGATAGTCAACCGCATGTAGATGAGTATGTGAAAGTATATGTGCACCGGTCGCGTGATAGCTCGTCGTACGTTACAACGACGCGCTGCTCCACTTGATGATGATAAGTCGCTCTTTTCTTGCTATGCGGCGCGTGACTGTGCAGAAGAGCCACGAAGATTGGCATCCTAGCCTGATATGCGTCTGGGTCAGGAATTAAGCGCCCCTGAAAACACGTACCTATTAACGATTCGCGTCGTGATCAATGCCACTGGCACATGAATTTGAAGGATACATTTTGTTATTTGTAAACAAGTGTATGTCAGAGTCAATGCAATCGCGCAAGGCCGATCAGCCCAGCAGCAGCGCTCGATTATAACGTATTGGCCCTTTTAAAAAAATTGCAGAACATTAATCTTCGCCAGTCCGATCCAAGTGGTCTGTCCGACGGATCCGTTCGGCGGCCGGAATCTAGTCCAAAGCGATCAGCCGCCCAACTACGAGGAAGCTCTAAATCTGCCCGTTTTATCGAACGCGAGACGATCCCTCGGCGCCGCGGAGAGCGCCGAGCAACAATCGTCGTCGTCGTCGTCGTCGTCGTCGTCGTCAGTCCCGATCTCGGTGGTGGTCACGTCGTCGGGGCCTCGTTACACCAGCGTCAGCGTCGCGTCGACCTCGTCTCAAAGCACTGGGCCCAAAGCGCCTAGTGCCAATAGGTCTTGGAATCAAAGCCGAGCCACCAATACGGAACAGGGACCCATCATTGTGTGAGTATAATATAATAATTATAACATAAGCACGCGGGTCGTTTTTCCTCGGGTGCAGCGATAAAGTGTCAACTATACGTTACGTTGCCGTGTGGGTGCCTCGGGGATTTGCACGCGAGATTTATTACACGTATCGAGAAACGATATCGTATATATATGTGCAATGCCATGGAGCCGCGTATAGGGTATTAACTAAGTTTCAAGCTGTTGCGCCGCTGTGAGCCTCTTCGGAAGTTGGCGTGTATGTAGAGGTAAATTTATCGATGGGACGCAGGCTCTCATTCGGGGAAGCTTGAATTTAATCGAGTATTATATAATATGCATCGGAACTACGACAAGGGTAAATTTGCAGCAAGGACGACACGAGGGTAGCCGTAATTCGAAGCACGTCGACTCAGCGATCAGCCGTCCGAAACGCCGAGACGACAGCCATCTCCCTGCCGACGTCGATCGACGGCCTCACGATGCCACCGGACTCGCGCGCCTCGAGCTCCACGATCACGACGGCGAGTCAAACTAACGGCGGCAACGTCGAGGTCGCCACTGCCGCAACGAGCACGAGCAAAGGAGCAGCAGCAGGAGCCCCGAGCTCCACCTCGCACGGGCCTAGCGATCCGACCAAGGTACGAAAGCGTTTTTGAGACGATGAGTTACATGGAAATTCAAAGCTCTTTACTTTTAATACGAAATTCCGCGTGACAGGGTAAGACGAAAACGCGCCTGACGAGATCGCTGACGGAGAGGCGGCCGTCGGGCAACTCGACGCACGATCAATCTCGTCGGCGCAATCCAGCTCTGAGGAACAGCTTCACCGAGAGAATCGACACGGGCACTCGAGTGCCCGGCATCAAGCGCATGAATATTAATATCGAGACGTCGCTCTGAGCGGGCGAGTAGCAACTATCCGATCGAGCGCAGAAACCAAATAAAAGACGAGAAAAAAACAAATTTTTCAATGAAAACGAACAATTAGGCTGTACTACGGTGGCAACGGCACGTGCTAACATAATTATGTGTAATTTAGTCCAATAATATAAATATGTATACGCACGGATATAATTGCATGTAACGATTAATGTAATAAATTTATCCAGTTAGTCGTAAATGAGCTTATACGGGGTTTCAGTGGGCAATTAGACACACCCGTCCACGGTATGTGTCTGCTTGCGCGTTTATATATAACAAAAAATAGGGTGTAATTAATTAATTAATTTTGGCATCGGAAATCTGCCTTATTGATGTTTGAATGTAACTGTATGAATAACTATTTTGAAAAAAGCCTTCTCTCTACTGTCCGCAGTACGCCACTTACATTCGATCACCTACAGCTTTGCCATCACATATTTTTGGTTGATGTACCTTCTATTATTCTAAGTAAAAGAGTGAGAATTTGAGCTTTTTCAAAATAATATACATTCGTGCGTCTGAAAATCGCTTATTCGTTAAAAGTCGTGAATTCAGCGACAGTGTGATACAAATATTTTGTTACCGACCGGTTCGTTATGTTTTTTGAAATGTATTCGTTTTTGCCTTACCTTCGAAATTCATCATTTATTTCTAAAAATAAAATAATTCTGACTGTGTAACTGCTACGCCAAAACTTGCAGAATTCTTTTTTTGCCACAGTATGCGGTATGATTTAGCATACTCTTCATGTGTAATGTTACTGTATGCGCACTTTCTCTCCCGCAGTGTCTTCTTTCTTCGATTACTTCACTGCTTTTATCGTAATATTAACATTAATGTAACTTCAGTAATTTTTAAAATAATATTTATACGATGTTCGTATTACAAATATACATGACGAAAAAAAATCATCCCAAACGAAAATTATTGAATAATTAATGACTGCGGCATTGTACTGTATAATGCATATTATAAATTAATCGATAACCAAATCGAAGGTAATTTCGTGCTAGAATTTCATAATTGAATATTTCAAAGGGTCTCAACGTTTCTATTTACATGAGTAAGTTTAAATATTGCTGTAAAACCATTACCGTCGGATTGAATTTTATGGATAGAAAAAAATGAATCAACTCGTCATCGACCTATGGGCTAAGACTCTATACATTAATTCTCTGAAGGGTGAAATTGGTAATATTTCATTATAGCGTTCATTTTTACGATATTTTCGCAATGCGAAGACAATGATACGACAATGATTTATTCTCTGAATTACGATTTTCTTGGTCCTCAAACTTCAACGATAAAAAATTATTTTTCTATATACAATAGACCGCTGATAAACGGTTTCAATAATTCTTTGTCATTTGCCTTCCGTGCAGGCTCGCATAAAAAAAGAAAGGAATTTGAAACAAAACACTAGTATACCAAAGTATACGTAATTACGCTTGAATCATGCCAATACTACCTAGTAAGATATAATAACGAAAAATTTGAGGCCAAATAAAAAAATACGTGCGATTTTCATGTAATATTTAAGAATGAAAAAATTACTTGAGTTGCGCCATGTGTTTTGTAGAAATTCTAACAATGGTTGTATGGATTTTATCGCTTCGAAACAATTGTCACAGTACAATTTTGAAAGTAATCATCTGTTTGTAAATTATGTGAAAATTCGAACTTATTATAACGAATGATAATGAGACTTAATGCATCCTTTGAGTATATTATAATGTGTATATGAAAATGCTACCTCATTCTATGTCCATAATCGCCCGTGTAAACCTTAAATTGTGCGCAGTATATTCTATTTTCATTAAAAATGTATATTGTGAATTGCGCGACACGACTGCATCCATTATGAAGATCAGAACTCAAGTTTAATGAATTGTATCATACACGATTATAATTTGTTACGGGAACCCGAGCACTATTATAGTTACATTAGATTGAAAATTTTTCGACCTCGCGAATTTCTAAAAAGTATTTCGAGTTCGATAAAATAAGATATATACGTTGTATATGTGCGTCTGTTAAAATCCAAACAACGACAAAAAATATGCAAAACATAATTGAGTATCAGAGTCGAAAAACAAAAAAAACCAAAAAAAAAATAACACAACTTATGCCGTCTGAAATAAGTGCTCTTGTACGAATTCAAGCCAAAATAATGGATAAACTTAAATTTTTATTTGCGTAAAATAATTTAAAATAGTCGCGAAGAGAAAAATTAATTTTGACTTCCGTTGTCGCAAATAGGCAAGAGCATTACATTGAACTTTGTTACTTTGTACAAAAAATATTTGCGTTTCATGAATAATTCAGGCAAATAAATTATAAATCAACAATTATTACGAATAATTGTAGTTATGATTATTCTAATAAATTGCGTCAGCATGTGAATAAAATATGGTTTACACATGATAATAAATGTTATATAAAAACAATTTTTCCAATGGTATTTTTCCTTTCAATTAATAAAAAAATAGTCAATCACAGTTCACAAATTTTTTTTTTTGTTTAAATTTCTTTTTTATACAAACATACTTTTAAGACATTTTTGTGTTATTATGACATTTTTAAATTTAAAGTTTACAATTAATGATTTTGCTTGTGATAGAAAGAAAATTGGTTGAAATTTATAAAAGTTTCAGTTGAATGGAATAAAATTAATAATTTGTGCTTAAATAGATAAAAAATGGTGTAAAATCCATTTCACTTGAATTTTAGAAATCTATAATTTTTATTGCTAATTAAATAATTTTCAAATCATATACATTTGAAATATATTTTGATTTTGAAAACTTGTGTGTATAAATAAATTTAATATTTTTAAACAACTTGATTATTAACCTATTACATTTTAACATGAACAAAATTGAAACTTTGTTTCATCTATACTTGGACACAACAATAAATACTATGTTGCACTACTAACACACATGGTACCATACAGTTCATACCCCAAATCATATTATATATGAATTAAAATTATTAATTATTTACATGAAACGTTGATACAAGATGCATTCTTCAAGAAGTAAAAAATTGATAAATAGATTTATTTTTTGTTGTTGAAAAAGTGTTACTTTTCATATGTCTACTTACGTAGCAAATATAGAAATTTTTAATTCTTATTTGTGAAGAAGAATGTGCTCTTATTTTTTCATTGGACTAGCATTATATAAATTACTTGTAGCAGTGGTCTTCTGGTCAACAGGTGTATAATAAATATATTATTTTAGGGTCTTGTATAATATACTCTGTAGTATAAAGTTTTGCTCCTCCAAAGCGAGTAAGAATTGTCAAATTTAAGTAAATAAACTCCCTGAAAAAAATCAAAACAATGATTTATTAACCAAATACTCATGCTTTATTGACTAATTATCAACACCTTACCTGTCCAGGATATTTATGACTACCTGCATACACCTCTTCTTGTGAATCTCTCCTGTATACCTACAAAAAAAATATGTAAGAATCTTAATAAAGATTATTCTTGATTTACACAAACTGTAAACTTTGAAACACTCACCGGTATTATGACACTAATAGGTATGCTGCTGGGTTTGTAGTCAGACATTGGAGTTTCACTAGCATCACCGGTCTCCAAATCTTCTCTACTTTCATAATCATCTTCATCATCATCATCCTCAGATTCACTTATATGAACTGAAACTTGTGTAGTTTCTGGTTTTGACCATTCAAAATACACACCAAATCCAATATCATAGCCATCAGTTGCAAATTCCCAAAATAGACAATTCCCATCATCATGCGTAGGCACTCGAACAGTAACAGTTTCACCATGACCAATTTTTATTACTGCATCTCCTGCCTCTCTTCTAATTGTATTTTTAAATTCATCTATGTTAGCATTTGTCCACATATCTGGAGGGAGTATTTTAGGCCAGTCCTGTATAAAAAGATAAAAGTTGTAATTTTTTTGCAATTCTGAAAATGGTAAAATCTAATCAACTTACTTCTTGTTCCTCTGATTCTTCTTGAGTAGCCTCACTATTTGTAAGCAACAGATCTTCTGCAGATTCTCCAATTAAAGCTTTCAAATGTTGATTTTCTTTCATACCTTTCTCATTTTCTTCTAAAATGAGTTCTTGATTTCTAAACAACTGCTGCATGTATTGATGGTAATGTTGCTCTTGTAATTGTCTAACAAGTATGCCTTGTTGTTCTGGGTTTCCAGGATATTGCTGTTCAGCGTATGCCTTAAATTGGCTAAAAGTTTGCTGATTCAAAGCATCTTGTACCTGCCTTCTCTGGTTTTCTTGTTTCAATCGTTCTTCTTCTTCCTTCATTTTTTGCTCATTCCATTCCTGTAGTCTTTTCTCTTCTTCTAATTTTTGGAGTTCTTGCTCCTTTTTAAGTCTAGCTTTTTCTTGTATATCGCGCTTTTGTGCTTCAACATAAGTCTTGAATGAAGGGCAAACTTTATCTAAGAATATAACAAATCCCTCCATAGCCTGCTCTTTAGTCATATCTCCTAAATTTTGCCATGCTATTCGTCTGTCTCTACCTATTACATCCAAAACTCCTAAATCTGGCAATTTTTCTGCAGAAAATTTACCATGAGACACTTGTTGAGTAAAGGCCACCAATTTCAACTTATCTTCATATGATAAATGAACAGCTTTTCCTTCTTTCTCTGAAAATTCAATTTAAATGATAAAATATATAAATAATGCAAATCAATTATCAATAAACAAATTAATTACAGTCAATAATGAGGGATTTTCAAATATTGTCATAGTATATAATTTAAAAAATCAAAGCTTATGTACAAAAAAGTAGACAATTAATGCATTAAAATAACAAAATAAATGAAAATTAAGTTCAATTAGAAATACAGCAAGAAGATTGTTTAAAAATCAAAATCGAAATAATTTGTTATATTTTATCATAGATGTTAGTAACAATACATTAAACTTCTGAACTTTATTGGGTCAAGTATCACGGCACTTTTATGAATAAAATACAACCCTTGTTGAACCTTCATATATGTACAAAAGCTTAAGAGGTATGTACATTATCGACCATTCTATAGCACGTCCGAATTCTATAATTAATGAATTAATGATCAAGGTGTTTTCTGACGTCTGTAGAGTGCACAAAAAAAAATTGAATTCAAATTTCGCATCGAAAATAAATAAAAAGAAACCTTCTAACCTCGTTACTTGACTCTTCGTTTAACTTGCGTCTAATCAAAAACAAACAGATTGATGGAAGGTGCAATAAAAATCAATACGCTTGTCATTTACCTTTGTAAAACGAGAGAGCGAGCCTGTAAAGATCCTTATTGTCAAAACCCGACAAATGTGGCTCGAAAACGTCATTCTTGAATTCCGTGGCCATCGTTGAATTTTCAGTAATTAGGTTTGATGTTTTTTCACCTTCCTTAACCCGGAGTCTTGCCAATTTTTCAGTAACTTCGTCGTTAGAGGCTGCCATGCGGACGAAGACGAAGAGCACAAAAAGTATATCCGTATGGTATGACCGTCGCTGTTTTGCTGCACGAAAATATTGGACACGCGTATCGAACGTCAACGTATGCACAATATATATTTGTACTGTATCAAGCGGATCGCGAGAAGAGGCATCGAGCTGTCATGTATACTGTCTGCTGTGTGGCAGTGTAAGTCACCACATACGAGCTACTGCATGAGGTGATAGGCAGCAAATACTATAACCATCGATACGGCTTGGACGACATATATTGCTATATACGCATGACTTGAAGCAGTAGCGATCTCGCAGAAGCAGTGACAAAATCACATGGCAGATGCGCGCGCAGCGATGACAAACCCTAACCCGCGAAGGCTTAAAAAAAAGTAGCTCGCTCAGCGTAGACTTTTTGATTTTTCTGCATCTAAAGAGGTCCGACAGTGCTCACTGAGGTATTAATTAATTAATTCTTTTTTGCGAATTACGAATATTCAATATAATTTACAAAAGCTTATAAAAATTGAACAAGAGAAAATGAAATATGCACAGTTAATACGAATTTACTACGCTCATTATATACGCTAAACCAGGTAATTATCGAACACCACTAGTTTTCGGACACTTTCAACTTTGGGTTAGAATAGTAAGATAACACCTACTTCTAGCGATGTGCGGTTTTTTTATTTAATTAATCATGCAATTTTCTTTAAAATGACATAGTTTAATAAAATGTGGGTTTATTATATTAATTATAATTTAGTTAGATTTGCAGGATAGTTTAACAATGTACCCTGGCAGAAGATATTTCAAATATCTATAAAGAAATTTTAAACCTTCAAAATACTGCGAAATAAATTTAAAGAAAGATTAAAAATATTAAATGAATCTAAAGAAAACTAAATATAGTACAATATTTTCCAAGACCTACGTAGATAATTTTAAAGAATTCATAAATAAGTTCGGACGAATTTTTGGCTAGTACAATTAGTGTATTTAAAATTATTTGAAAATATTTCATTTTATTTCATTTTTTGTACTATTCATGACATTTCATATGTTTTCTTAAATATTATTTAAAAATAGTAAGAATTCTTTCCGAATAATTTTTAGTTAAAGTTTTGAAAGTTTATAAATAAATTTATTTCAAAGCAAAATTGTGTATGAATTATACAATAAATATTACAGTAGGTCATCAATTACCTCAATACTCTCCATATCTATTACTGGGTATTCTTTCATAGCTTTCAATTTGTTTCTGGCGCCGCCTATTGCTCTGTTTGCATAATCATTAATTTTACTCATATAGTAGCTTATTTCAGATGGATTATCATGATGAAAATTTTTATGCTTCTCTACAGCGAGCTTTTTATGCGGGGTTGCCGTAGACTACTGGTTCTTGCTGATCTCGCAACGCACCTTTCAGCTAATGCATTAAACCCCCGTACTGTTCAAAACATATTAGTACAAAAATGTGAAGGTTCTTTCTTCTTGTATGCATCTTCAACCACAGACTTTTTAGCAAAACCCCTGTTCTTGGTATTAATTAATACTTCAATTAATCATTTCCATACAATAATTTTCGCATCCTTGCAATAAAATAGATGACAACTTTGGTATCAGCAGTATCGACTTTATCGATCATCTGGAACTCATTAAATATTTGAAATAATTTGAATTTTCCGTTACTGGGAAGTTCGAATTTATTATATAAAAGAATTTATAAGCCATTGGTGTATAGTTAATGTAAAGTTGTCCCCAAGCTCACACCAAAGAAGCATATTAAGGGAAAATTCATTTAATCATTCATCATAAGTGCAAAATTAAATGATAATAATATAATATTAGCAAGTGAAGACGAAGAAAATGAATTGAAATTAAAAAAGAAGGTTAAAGAGGCATTACGTGCAATACAGAACGGTCTATCGGTAAGAAAAACAGCTAAACTTTACGATATTCCTTGAGTGATATTGATAATGGGAAAATATTCCAGTACGAAAAGTGACGAGGACCAGAATCAGAACTATCATGTGCTGGGGAAACTAAAATCATTGAGTGGTTGAATGATTCCTGTAGCATCGGATTCCCTGTGAATAAAAATAGACTTATAAACAATGTTGAACAAATGGTCAAAGATTCTCAATTATACCCACAAAATTTGTTAATAATCGGCCAGGAGATACTTGGTACAATCTCTTCTTAGGTAGACATAAGAAAATATCAGAACGTATTGCAGAGGGCATATCTACAAGAAGAGCTATTGTCACACAAGAGTCCATTCGCAACTGGTTTGAGGGACTGCATAGGTACCTAAAACAAAATAATTGGTTGGGCGTATTACTCAATCCTACAAGAATTTTGAATGGAGATAAGACTGGATTTAAGGGTTCAAACGGGGATTGAATAATTATATGATATTTCTATTTATAGTATTAAGCTGAAAAAGTTAAAAAAAAATTTTTTTCAGAAAACAGGCACAAGAGCCTTTCTTCATACCCCATTTGAAAGTACTTTGTCCAGTTAAATACTTACAAACACTTAAATTAACTGGTATAAGTCTATAAACCTTCAGCGATGAGCATTTGGGATATCGTCATCCCAGCGCAGGAAGGTATTTATTTCAATTCTGTAGCAAGAAGGATACTTAAGGATACATAAGGCAAAAAGGTATCTAACTCGATCGCAGCGGCAAAAGGGTATCTAACTCGAGCGTGGAAGTAAAAAGGTAGCTTATTCAAACGAAGTGGCAAGAACGTTTCGACGCGCTGAATTTAGGTTGTTAATGCAGTCGTAAATGATGAGATTTTGTTTCAACATTCAACATTCAACATCTAATTCAAAGTTATGTAAAACCGATAACTTCTACTTTCCTCTCAGAGTATACACATTTCTCCATAAGTGGCAAATTGAGTCGAAATGGCGATGAGATTGATTTGTTTGCTCGCATTACAAATGGATGAAAATCATTACACTAGCTCACTTGTTTTTTTCTCTCTTTTGCTCTAATACAAAACAAAATTTTATCATTTACGGTTCGGTTGCCAACCTAAATTCAGCGCGTCAAAACGTTCTTGACACTTCGTTTGAATAAGCTACCTTTTTGCTTCTGCGCTCGAGTCAGATACCCTTTTGCCGCTGCGATCGAGTTAGATACCTTTTTGCCTCTGCGCGCGAGTTGGTATCCTTCATGCTACAGAATTGAAATAGATACCTTCCTGTGCTGAGCCGACGATATAAAAAAACTTCGATTACAAAAATTTTTTTTCATGTGTAGAATGATAATCAATTTATATGAATCAGATTCTCAAAATCTTCATGATTTCGACTGATCAAAATTTTCGAATTTATCGAATTTTACCAAACATCAGAATGCAAAAAACAACCGTATCATCGTGAAAAATGCCCGTAGAATAATTTTAATAAAACTAATTTGGAAGTCTTGCAAGCACCTTCAAATTCATCGTCTCATATTTTCGACAAGTAAGTAAGTAAGTAAGTAAGTAAGTTTTGTATAAAATCAGGTGTCTGTGCTAATTCAACCGAGAGAGAGAAAGAGAAATTAGTGCGCGTAATTGGTTTATTAAACAATTTTTAATCTATTGGCTGAATACTCACGGAACACCGTATTCTTAAACAGATTAGCAAATAAATGTTATTGCAAAAATTTTAACATCGGTAAAAGTACTAAACAGAATAACGAGATTTAATCGTATAATTGGAGACAGAAAATATTGGAAAGCAAGAAAAAGGCAGAATTGAATTATTTATATTACATGAATGTTCCAATTTGTTGAGTTTACAGGAAAATATCAAAGCTGATGAATTAATTTAAGCAGGTTATTTTTTGAAAGAATTTGAGGCTTTCACTGGAACATATTATCTCACAACTGCAATGATCTTGTGTGTAAACCAATTACTACATCTGACTCGAAGTATTGCAGTTTGGCAACAAAAACTTATTTTCACGTCTAAATGCATTTGAGCATTTCTGCAGATTTACACGTGGGAGTTGTAAAAAAATACCACCCTCAATCACAGCATATAGATAGCCCACTTTAGAAAAACTTTTTCATGTTCAATCAATTTTTTATTTATTAACATATTCGATTATTATGAAATTTCAATTGTACTTGTAGTTTTCAATTAAGAATCTATTACTGATAATAAATCGATACGTTTCAATACATCGCGATTTTTTTACTCAGCAGATAATGCAGTTACTAAATATAGTAACGGTAAATTTGGGATACGGTAAAGTTCAAGTTGTCTCGATCTGCCTACAGATGTCACATACATATTCTGAAGTGTGTATACTACACAGGCAAATAAACGAATTAAAAAATGATAATACTATACTTTATAGTTATAAATAGTCACAGTTATATACCAATAAAACTATCTTCAGTAATAGATAATATTTATGCATTAATTATTATTGATATATGAAATAATTACTTCAATAAAGGTACTAATCATTTCCAGTTTTTTTCAAATTTTTAACTACTTCATGAAGGGGACACTCCTGTGTTTATGTCTATAAATGCAATAACATGAAAATTAAGGATTAATATTAAAATTTTTGGTTTCTTATGTTAAAATATGTTTTTACAGGTCCTTTTACAACAAAAAATACATACAGACAAGTGTTGGGAATTCGATCTAGTTTACAAAAATGTAAACGAAATTGTCGTACGAGGTCTGGTTCAAAAACTCATATTCGAACCTATCACATAGCTTCCTCTATGGAGGAAGCAAATGTCTGTAGTTCCTTTTATTATTAAAATTCATTCAGGATTCATATATATTGAATTGTATTTTTTAAGTCCTTGACAGCATGATTTTGAGAACAACAATTATTCAATTGGATTCCTTTATGTCTCAAAAATAGCTATTTTAATAACGCTTATTGCTATATTTGGAGATGAGTAGATTAAAAAAATAACTAAATAAAAAATCTGCTACACTTGAGTGGAAAAGAATTCAATTACAAAACTTTTGAGACTCAATATCAAAATTTAATCGAGAAATGCAATGGAACCTACATGGTAAAATGTAAAAATGTGCATGTAATAGCTAAAGTTTGTCTTTCAAAATATTTTCGTGCAGTTTCTCAAAAGGCAAAAGTAGAGCTATGATACATACGCAGCTTTTATTCAGGGTTAAAAAAGAAAATACAAATGTATTATGTCGAGACCAGACCAATCAGACTCGCAATTTGGATTTGCTAGTGGATTAAAGCTAGCTACAGATTGAATCCATTGAAAAATCCTTCAAAGCAACTATCCAATTTTTAACTACAATTCAAATATCAATAGTAGAGTTATTCATAATGCCCTAGCTAATACTTATATTGAAGATGTATAATATAAGTAAGCAATTTACGGTACTATATTTAAAATTATTTAATCCTATTTATTTGAAGCATTCACTGAATGCAGTTAAAATAATTTGAGTATAGTCTTTTGACTTTATATTTTTCTCTTTTTTAAGCGACCCAAGCAGGCATATTTAATTGACTGAAGGTGTAAAAAAAAGAAGGTTTTATGTTTGCTTCTACTGATATTGGCTCGCCCTCACCTGGTTTTCGCACTCGATTTACACCATACTTGTTTTCTCATTCGCGAAACGAGCGAACAACTCTGTTATATTCTTGCAATATAACGAGAATTATATTAGAAGCAGTTTCTAAGGATTGACTTGCAGATTTATGACTGAATTATAATGACAATTTGATCAGCAGAAATTTGGTCAAGTCGGTCAGTATTGTATTGTTAGAAGGAATTATATTGCCTACGAACGTCCCAATTTATTTCATCTAAAATTTATTTAATGATGTTAAGCGATGTCTGGCAGAACAATCTTTTTTTATCGTAACCCAAGTAACCCAATTTTTCGTTTTTTTGGTTTTTATTTTTTATTTATTTATTTATTATTATTTTTTTCCTATCAAACTAATCCATCAAATAAAATAAAAAACACTAGAGAATCACTAAAAAATAAAATTATTATTTAATTAACAATTATTCTCAGGCTCTCTCTCGCAAGTCAAAGTTTCGGGTATCAATAATCGAGTTCATTATTGCGTCGATGACGATGCTGCCGATGATGATCGGGGGTGGCCTTATCATCGCCTATAGCTGACATAGATAAGGCGAGGCAGCTATCTCTCTGCGGCAGCGCAAGGCATTTCTTTTCGCCGTGTCCAGTGCGTGTGTTTGTGAACGTGTGCGTATGTGTGCATGTGTGTGTGTACCTATGTAACGTATTTCTCGTGTAGAAGACCATTGGTGTGCACGCACACAACAACCCGCGCTTCTACGTATTTACGCACACATATACTTTTTTTTCATTTTTTTTTCTTCATTGACGCTGTACGCGGTGGCGATATTATCCAAGTTCGACAATCGCAAATCGATTAAACTCTACACCTGAGCGCGAATTAGGAGCGTCTCCGGTGCTCAGTACTTTATCGAGTGCTGTACTTACAACTCGGCAATTTCATTTATCACTGCGGTCAGTGTCGAGATTTTACAAGAACATCGATTTCTTATATTTTTTCTTCTTTTTTTTTTGTTTAATGAAAAGCTCTGATTAGTGTTGAAAGTTTAATCGAGCTCAACATTAAACAATTATTGTACCTACTTAATTTTGAATGATTATAAGTAAACAAAAAATAATCGAGTGTCATCGGATACATTGACTGCCTGGGCCCGTGATTTATACCAAGTGACAAGATGGCTTACGATGAAAATTATGACTTCTGGCGATTGACGGACTACGTCAATCCGGACGATTACGGGTAAGTTTTTTCTTTATTTGAAATGAACATTAAAATTTGTTGAGAGAGAAGTGACTCATTTGAAAGCTTACAAGAAACTCCTAGATTAGACGAAAAAAAAAAGAATAGCATAACGGACAAAAAATCATAAACTATAATTTGTGTAAGCCGCGATATTGCAATATTATATATAGTATACATGTAGCTGTAAAGATGGCTGCAGCCAGCCGTACGTGCGGTGCAATTACAACAGGTGCTGCGTGAGCTTCGCTCCGCGAGCGACCCTCGTTGCCTCGCGAGCGCACACGTTTATACATACCAAATATATGTACATAGGTGTATTATCGTATGGCATTGGGATGAGCAGTAGCGCCGAAGCAATATGGAAATGCACGCGACCCGTTTCCGGTATAATAATTCGAGCGGATAAATTGCAACCCTCCTATCGTTTAACGATAAGGACGAGCAGGATCATGTCTCCCCCGCGTATTGTGCACACGGAAAGCCGTATATGGGGGCTAATCGCGCGACTCGAACTACGATCGCTCGAAATTGCCCTCCATACGTGTGTGCGCGCGCTTGTTCGTACGTATACGTATACATAATCTCGGTGATATACTACGTTTAGACCGTTTAAACGATCGTTTAAAAGGGTTCGCACGTACGGGGACGCGATGAATGAACTCGCTTACGATCCTCATTTAAACGTTTAATTAGCGGCGTTATTTATTTTATTTTTTCCCTCTTTTTCTTCTATTCTCCAGATGCCAGATGCTTTCGAGTACTCGCGCACAAGGTTAATACAGCCTCGTCGAGAGTGTGACTTTTCTCACGGCGAATGGGCCATTGTCGCATCACGTATACCATGCCTCGAAAAACCGTCAACCGCGCGCCTTTTCTCCTTTTCTTTTTCTTCGAGGCATGCATCGACCGCAAATATACATACATAATAATGTACAAGTTTTCACGCGCTATTAGCTCGAGCTTCTTCTTCGCAGACAAATCCCACGTTTAGGAGCGTCGTTTTGGCGAAAAATCATCTGCTTTGAGATTAATTGGCTGGAAAATATACGTTCGTGTTGCGTTTCGTGACACTTCAATGGGTCCGGTGTATTTTGTGTAGGCAAAAAATGCCCATTGCCACAATGCGCCAGGTATACGTGAAAAATCAAGAATTTGAATATGAAGCTTGTGAATTTCAATCGCGCGGCGTTGCACGTATTATAATATGTACGATGATTTCCTCGAATTTTTGACATTGGACGAACGGCGCTGAAAATTTCAAGATGTGCTCCAAGCTGTTAGTGCGACTTTTTGCAACAATAACTTTTCGAGAACACTTTGCTCTAGATGTTAAACACGTTGCTCTAGGTGTAAAAAAATAACTGAATTTAATCCAGATCTGCTACTTAAAAAACATATCACGTACAATACAAGTGTATGGCACTTGTGAGGCTCAGTTTCAAGCTTGCGTAAGAAAAAAACCGCATCGTTTACAAGTCTAATAATTGGTCTGTTTAAACACGTATCGATGCTTGTTAGATTCAGAGAAAGCGATTAATAGTACGCTACAATGAGTTATAGCGCGAGAGACACTTCCGGATCTCTTTCGAAAAGCATCGCAGAGAGCATTAAAAAGTGTCCGGCTTTTAGCCCATCGAGTGGAATGATATATATTTAATGCATCGAATGTGTGACGCTTACCAAGTCCTTATTATTCTTCTCTTTTTTTTTCTTTTGCCTTTTTTGAACTGCACAGACGGTGTATAGGACGACTCGGAGGCTGCTTGGGCCAGACAGCGCGGCGCTGTGCACGAGCCCGGGCCTATTATTTCGATCCCGATTCTTGCTATACGCAGGTACATTATTACAAAATGCGGTGCGCATACAGTACTAGGACGTGCTTCCTCGATATACATATATATACCAAGAATGTATTCGAGCGAGTTTATTATTGTTATGATTTTTTTTCCTTTTTTTGTTGTTGAAAATTCAGCGCGACAAGTTTTAGCTATAAGGGAGAAAGCCGAGCGAAGTTTTATATTATACAGGCATACGTTTATTATGTAGCCCCCGAGAGTCGTAAGCTGAAGTGGAATGCCAATATTATAGCTCCGCGTGCGCGCGTATTTACTCCGCAGCCAGCATATATTATTTTCAATTGAGTGAGAGATTTTTTTTTTGGAGAACTATTTTATTCGTATTAAGAGCATTACACCTAGCGCACGCGCAGACCAGCGAGATCGCAGCTTCGGTCGAAAGTTCGTATTTATCTCGTATTTTTATGCGAGGGCACGTATGGGTACAAGAATCATTGTCAATTTATCCCGGTGATGATTATTAACACTTGGCTTGAGAACTCTCTGGAGCCTCGAGTTTTTCATTACGAGATTGCGTGAGGTATTAAGATAAATCTACTTTCATATTTTTCACACCCTCGAAAATTGAACAAATTCACCAGACATCCTCCGTTTTTAGTAAACAGAAATACACTGGCCATCGAGTAAAGTGATTCTCATCGATCTGTATGCGTTCTGCGGGCTTTGCCTCTTCTTCTCTCGTTTTTTTTTTTTTTTTTTTTTTCATAATACATCCCTCTAAACTTACCTTGAGTTTTTTTTACAATGTCCCGTAGGCCCTTCCGGTATCTTAAGAGTTGGTCTTTTAGGAGTTTCGACTTTTCATGAATGGCGCTCGGTGCGAAGGAGCGGACGCTTATGTGACTTTTTCTTGAAACTTTTTTTTCACGAGAACAATGAAAAAAAGGAAGAAAGGGAGCGCGTCGATCGGCACTGTGTATACGTACGCCAACAACCATATGTAACATCGCGCGCTCAAGTACTTGTTCCGGTTTTTTTTAAAAGATTTTTATTCAGAGATTGGCATTTTCCAAAAATTATACTCGCAAAATAAACTTTTTTTATCGTCTTTGCTTTCGTGCGGCGAGTCATGAAAACGGACGAGTTGAATGAGTCGCTTTTCTCAATGCGCAAATCGTATTAATTGTCACAGGTCTATATAAGCCTAAAAATCTTGAAACGAAAACAATCCCCGAGGGCAAAGTTGAGCCTGTTAGGCACATTATACACGGGGCTCGTTTACGTTTGATGTTTCCGTATGTCATAAGGTACGCATCGAGACGAATCTAAACTTGGCAATTACAACAAAGGCGTTGAAAAAGTTTCTTTGAAATGTTGTATTTAAATGGCTTTAAGAGCTCGTGCGAAGAGGCAGATTTTTCTCACGTTTTGAATATACACACGCAGGTATATATATCCGACGCGCGCACACAATGAGCATCTCTCGACTTTTTACAAGCGATTTTTTCGAGTAGCTATACATAATGAGTACTTAAAAATAAATCCCAAGTGCGTGGCTCAATAGTCGGGTAGATAACCAATATATTAATACTCAATATGCTAATTGCAATCAGATTACACGGCAAGTGTGTGTATACAGGCATTGACGGATCGGAAAGGCACTTGAGAAAAATTGTTTTCAATGAAAAGCCGAGCGATTAAAGATAGGATCTCCAATTGCTACTTACAAAACGCCGATCCGATCGCCGTGTATGAAAAGTGTTAGATCGAACAAAAAAGGTGCCCACTCGATCGTTAGTAATGCTAACAAAATTGTTGTGCTTGTTGTGTCTGCGAGCCGAGACAAAAGTAATAACGCTGATCCACTTGTTCCGACGCAGACCGTCAATATCGACAGTTGCCAAAAATCTCAATATTCAGAACTCACAGATTTCGCGCTCTAATTTCGTAAAAAGAAACAAACCAATAAAGGATCGGGCGTACATTAAAAACTCGTAAAACGATTTTATTGCACGACTGCCGATGACGAATTATTGTATATTCCAAGAACATAATATACTCGCGCAGCATAGATCGAGTCTCTCCTCTTTGCTTTTGTTCCACGAATAAATCTTTTTTTTTTACAAGGACCATGTCGTCGCACCAATTGTGAATTGGATACGATTTCGCAAGCTCGTAATATACGACTCGGATAGGCAATCGGCCGACTTTTTTACGATGCATTTAAAGAAAGAAAATTATGATTAGTCCTGGACGGTACGCTTTATTGTTCTTTGCGCCGAGTACTCGGCGTCCCTGCTGTTGGAATCATTGAGGAGTACTTACCCTCAAGCTCGTAATTAGTCATTGTGAGAGTTAAGGTGTGAACATTTTCAATTATATCATGTACCTTTGTACAATCGATGCTCTTTTGTTTCGCTACATAAAAGACTCTAATATATTCATTTGATTATAATGAATTCAGTCTAACTCAAGTCCACATAAGGATTATGGACAAATGTGAACTTATTGAAAAAACTTCTCTTCGGACTTTTATTCAAAAACAATTGATACAATTTAACAATTATATTGAAAAATCAATATGAATTTATGTAATATACACAGCTCTGTGTTGAATGAGCATTCAATCGACTTTAATTTCGTCCAAACGCAAGTGAAGATTTACATAGATGCATCTAACAATTATGTGTATTCAGTCCACTGTCTCGGGACCCCTTCAATCGAACGCACGCGTGCGACTCGCTGCACGCTCGATTAACCCAGAGAACAAATAAAACGAGCATCGACGAAATCGATGCTTCCGGAACTCATTATACAGTCGGACACGGTGTCTTACGTACAATTACCACATAGTAATCATCTCTTCTCTTGTTTCATTATTTACCATTTTAATAGAAAAAAACCTTTTTATCAATAACACGATATTGTTCGCGTAGAAATGGTAAAAACCAAGTCCAGTTTTTCACAATAAATTGTTTCTGCGTCGAAACGAGAAATATACTTTTCATCTAGAAAAATCGGATTCAAGGATTTACGAGAGCCGTACATTATCATTACATCATCGAATCAGTTAGCATTTTTTTCTTTCTTTTTTTCCTTATTATTTTCAACAATAATCACTCGTTATCGCGCGCTCGAGCCGCCGTGCGCGAGCTTGACCGATCTTATCGTTGGCAATCAGTTCGGGTACCAGCATGAGCGTAACCTCGTTTTTTCTCCCGTGATTAGATAAACTTTTGAACGCAGATGCAGAGATTCTTTTGAATGTAAAGGCCATTTATCGATTTACAAATTCATATAATATAAGGCATTAAGTGCTTAAGTAGCCTATTTGAGAACGATAATTATTACATGTGTTCGACTTTTTATATATCAATGATGGTGCACAGGCAGCTTCACATTTTTTCAAGTCCCTACGTGTAATAGCTCGAAAAAAAATCTGTATTAACTTTGGGCTAGGTATGAGAGATTTCGATGGAGCTTTTATCTTTTTCGAGCAAAAGAATTACGTATATAGATATATATTACGACCTACTTAACCAGCTATATACGGCAGTGTAGCGGGAAGTGCACAAGGAGAGAACTCGACGTGTGCCTAGTTGCCCAGTTGGAGAAAGGATCGATGAAGCAAACCCATTGGTTGCCGCGAAGGTACGCCCATAATCGAGGCGGGGCCCCCAAACAGTGGCAGCAGCAGCAGCAGCAGCAGCAGTGGCAGCGGCATCGAGCGCCATAAGAGGGTCGCGCTCGCGACGCGGATTATTTTTTTTTTTATACAGATAAATAAATTCTCGGACATGGCAAAAAAAAAAAAGAAAAAGAGTACACGCAGACGCGTTTAGGATAGCGATCGGCCGAAATGTAAAATAATTATATATGGCTTTGATTGATATTGCGTAAAAAGACCGATCTTATCGACGCACGAGCGATGGACTCCATTCCTCGATTTTCGTTTCGATGATAATAAAAAAAGAAGACAGACGCAGTGTGATCGAGATGGTAAGGATAAGGCTTTGAAGACGCGCGCTCGCGCTGTAACCGAGTGCGTCGGTTTTTTATTATTTTAAAAATTGTAAAAACAAAATTTCATCTGCACGCGGCTTAGCTCGACGCTCACGTCGCGCGGCGCCCGCAGACAATGCTCGGGACGATCGATATTATTACACATAATATAATGCTCGTGCTCTTCTCTGCACGCGCGCTCGTTCTTTTCTATTGGAGGGGAATTATAGATTCTCGAAAAACAACCGAAACAAGCTTACGGACATTGATACTACTTGCACACACATCCTGCAGCCCGAGCTAAGTGCAACAAAGAAAAGTAAACACGAGTTAAAATCCGACACGCTGACGCATGATTTTTGTACGCATAGAGGGAATGTATAGGAGGTATACGGTTGCAGATTGAGGTCTTGTATACCGTGATCGGGTGTTGAATGAAAAACTATGTATCTGTTACCTGATGATGCGCCATAAAGATCGTATGCACGAGTATCGACGCATGTTTGACAATTAGCCGTTTCCTTGAGAAAGTGAAGTTCAGTAAATAGATCTCGACTCCAAGGTGGACTCTGCTACTTGTGTTTTTAACGTAAACGAACGATGGCGAAACAATGCCACTTATTAGAATGAAACTCAAGTACTTTTGATTGAGCGACGATAAATCCCGAAGCTCTTATGAACGCATCTGAATTAGATCGAGGTAGATTTTCAAGTATACGGTCAATAGCATTTACCGCAGCATGTGATGCGCCCATCATACACCAGAAATTCGGTAGAGAATTACAACGTGTTTTTAAGATCATATTACATTGTAGTGATGCGGGGCTCGCGCGTCGAGGTGCTAACGTGTATTATATTATGCGTGTATGTATACGCCGGGTGAAAGTGGAGAGAAAAGGCGCTCGCAAAGTGGAGAAAAAAAAAGGCACAAGAGGGGGTAGCTCCTGGCGTTTATTTGTCATGGCCCCTGCAGGATCGGCGCGCGTGGGTAAATTCACTACTGGGTGGGGAGGACACCGTACACACGCCCAAACCTTGGCTATATCGTGCAGCCCATGATCGTAGGCGCAGGCGAACGAATCAGTATCCTTAAGCACGGAGAGCGAGACGCATCATGCGAGTGCTGGCCAGTGGTGCAATTTCGAGAGTGTCAATCGTGATATACGAAACAGTTCGAAGGTTCACATAAACGTGCGTCGCGCCCTCGAGAACGGAGAAAGAGTTCGACGATATAACTTTGCCAGTTGAATGAGATGATCATCGATACCAGAGAAAGTAATTGAGTTACACGCAGTGCTGTTAATTGAGTGAAAAGTGCACACAGAGTTTTGTTCGGTGTATTATGTGATTATTGTTTATTGCTAAATAAAAGAAAAAGAAAAAATGATGTCAGACAAAAAGAACATGTTTACCTGGCCGTTCATGCCCTACCCGGGATTCTTCAATCAGATGTGGCTCAATCACATAGCTATGAACAAAAGGTACATACAGCCCCCCGCGACTGTATTATCCCACCTCAGACTCCTGAGCTTCGCGTCAAATCTGCGCGACACCTTTTGTTCTTACTCTTGAAATACCTGACACCTTACTGAAAAATTACTTACAGTATTACCCATTCCTGCACGATTGTCAGTTATTTTAATCAATGGAACGCTTATTCTTGACATTTTTTTCTGAAAATGTATGTATGATTCGCATTGAATTTCTGCTGATATGCAGGGTATTTTTATCATTTTAGAATAAATTTTCCTTCGTTCACTTAACTTAATCTATTTAAACCTGCCGCACTCCTTTCCAAATCCTTTCCCATCTTCCCGCGCTCATTATTATCATGAATGCATACTAATTATCTTTAAACATATCCGATTGTTCAAATTTTGCTTTTAAAGAATCAACTATCAAAAACTCATCAAAACATGTATAAGCAAACTATATCAAATGTAAAGACATACTTTTATTTTTCTTTTCAAATTAAAAATTTAATCTGATCGGAACGATCGTAAAAACAGTTGTCAAACCTCGGCGTCTTTTTTGTAAGCAACAAGAACGTTATCATATCAATAGAGTTTTTTTCTTATGGCTACAGTCGGGCGGTGTAACAAAATAAGAGTCTCCTGGTTAGCGTTGCCCGGTCATTTATTCTAGGCGTAAACCCCGTACATATTTCTCCTTTTTATAGCGGCTTATTGTTTTTGAAAAAGGGAGACAATTATAATCAACAATTCGATTTTCTTCTCTGTCATAGGTTCATCGAAAGTATAAAAGGCCCGGCGCACGGCAAAGCCTCGGGTTTCCAAATAAGCGATATCTTGGAGTTGGACTCCAAACCAAAATCGGAAAGCGCAGATGGCCAAGGTACGTCAGAGACAAAACAATTCCAGAACAATACATTTCTCTGCCGATAAACTTGTTTCTAATTATTTGCTTTTTGTTGTTGTTGTCACTCGATCAACTTTCAGGTAACACCGCGACCATGCTACCACCGATCACAGAGGCCTATCAGCAATTGCTCGAGCACTCGTTCGGCCCGTCGGCTCATACGGGCGGCTTCAGAGGCACGGGATTCGTGCCGCCGCCGCCCGGCTCGGTTCCCAGCTTACTCAATTGGCCTCCGGTCGCAACCGCAAACGGCCACGTATCACCGAATCTAGACGACGTAACCGGTATGTGTCAAAAATCTATGCACCATCTTCTTATGCAAAAAAAAAAGAATATCGTCGATAGAGATGTATTCGAGCGAGGATCGTGCGTGACACCCCTCGGATGTACCATAAGCCGCTGCTGTATCTGTTACCAGATGCACAGTACTTGCGAATATATTTAATAGCCGCTTGCAACGGCTCGCTCGATCTCTCGATTATTCCGCTCGCGTACTCTCAACGCGTTGGTACGATTTATACATATTGAATGCAGCAGTATGGGCCCGGGCGACCAATGACGACGAGGCCGCAAAAACAGCACAGCCAAAAGTTTTCGTTGCGATTGTTATTACAGTCAGATGCACAAAGCCCCGCGATTGGTCCCTTCTCTCCGTTCTCGAGAGAACAGATGTCGCGGCGAGGCGCAGATGTAATTGCAGGGAATTGTCACGCCCCGACTTTCGGCTATAGCACGCGGACACACTCCATTTTGACCCCGGGCCCGGCTATATATACAATATGCGACAACGGCAGCAGAGGCGAGAAACTTTATTCATCCCATGAGAGCACCCCTTCGTATTTTCCACTTTGCGGTTGCGATCCCGAAGCTCCTTTAGCTCTCCCGATCTTGCATGTTTGTTTTTCAATTCCGTGCTCCTCGCATACGAATAAAAGTACAAGGGGCTCCAAGCATACAGCAGTGGTTTGATAACGCGAAGAATATTACATATGTATTATAATATGTCGCTGCTGTACAGGCCGTTGAACGGTTCAGCCTTAGTAGGCAATCGAATGAGATTGCTATAAGCCTTGGATTATAGCTCGCCAAGTAGCAATGTACGGCCGTTTTTGGCTCCCTTTAGTTTTATGTATATCTGTAGAGGGCCAACTTTTCTAATGACGTCTGAAGGGTTGTAATTTAATTATTTACATCGGCAAATATCATACGCGAAGGTCGTGTAATATTTTAACAGCATGGGCTACGAATGTGCGATTACTTTTTATGCATATTGCGGGCTAAGTATTGCACACCGAGAAAAATTTTTAGGAAATTTTAAAACAACTGATGTACCATCCTAATAATGAATGTTTATACAATAATTTTAACAAACACGATCATAAAAATATTACTGTGAGGTTTACAAAAAAATTACGTCTTCAACGAAAATTTACTGTTTTGAATAAAAAAATTCGTGATATCATTTAGAGCAATAAATCGCCAATAGATGGCGAACAAGAATTTTCAGCAAAACTCGCGAGTGGCTAGTTGTATTTGGAATTAATATATGAGAACGTTTACAATGTTTACATTCTCCCCTTAATTATTGCCAGAATTTCTCTCAGTGTAGTAATGTTTAGATTGAGAAGTTACCTCGTAATAATTTTACATGCTGAATGAAATTTCCGAAAGTTTTTGCTTCTCGAAGCCTATTAACTTGATATTAAATTCAATGAGTTATTATTGTTGCGAAATGACAACACAACGAACATAAAAGAAGTAGACACTTGATGTTTCACGACTCGCACTTGACTGAATTCATCGAAAACTGGAGTTCTGGAATACTTCAATAGCTAATTATCACTTCAATAAAGTAGTCGTTTGTGAAGAATAATTTAGAAGAGTCAAATCACAGTAACACGTGCTGTTGCTTGTGTGTGAAGAAGATAGATGCATATGTGGAAGAATCTAAAACACTATTGTCCTCGGATACAGTCATAGGACTTGCGTGAATCTTAAAAGCGACCGCACCGATCGTAAATCCATCAATCTACAAATCAATCTGATCAGACGTCGATGAATGAATTTGAAATAAGTTCTGTAAAAAGTATAAATAGACTTCAAACTGCAGATTCTTTACTTTTATTTGAAACATTCAGCGAAAAAAGTACGATTCATGATTTTCATGCTGCATATGACACGGATTGCTTTTGTTGCAGATGAAAAAGTGAATAACATAATAATAGCAATAGCTTTTTTACGAAATGACATATCTAAACCATATTTGAACACGAACAAGGAAAAATAATTGCTAAAATGATACAATTAATTACTTACCTTGATCTCATTTTTTGTGTATAAATTCGATTGTAGCTGTCAGTGATGATGCCTGATAATCGTGCCATGTTATTTAACCGACATCTTCGACGAATCTGTATAATATCTTTGTTTTTCGCAAGAGACATTTAAGAATCAGCGTACGACAATCGAACAACTATGAAATACCGAAATATTGTGACATTGATCGATTTACCGGGGTATCCAAAAGCAAACCCTCGTACATACAAAAAGATAGAAAAAAAAGAAACGATGAAACCGCAATACGTGCCCTAATTTCCCTCGATTTGCAATGAAATTTGCCCAAACAGTGTCGCTCGCCAATTCTTTTGTGAAGCTGACGCATGTTACGGAGTGAGGTGCAGTGTCAGAAAAAAAACGCTAAAAGGCGAAGGACAATCGACGCGATCACGTAGCATTGATCGAGTGTTTTACATGACGTGAAAAAATATTGTGCTACGTGATTTTTTTCGAATGCGTTCACTTCGGGCGAGCACATTCGAGGAATAATTTTTGCCAATTGAATGCGAAATGGCTCATAGTGACCCTTAAATAGGTGATTCTCCTGTGGCTCTTTCAAAATTATGTTGCGTATATGTTTGTATAGGAGCTCGCTTCTATACCATGTAATTATACCCCAATGTATGCACGGATGCGAATATAACTCAATCCTTCGACACTTACTCTTTAATCAGAGTGTCGGAGTGAGCATCTGCCGCTTCGTTAAGTAATTATATCGTCAGCTGCCCTCGATAAGGGTTCGGTAGTGTTAGTGTATATCCAATCGATTGTTCTTTGCGATATTTTCGCTGTATCAATCGCTTCATTCTCTAAACCTGAAAAAATATATACTCACGGTTAATTACGATTAAATCTTATATATATTTTAAAAAGGGGAAACGATACGAAAAGTTTCGCGAATTCGGGCCAGTACTCAAAATAAACGTGAAATCAATATATAATATAAAGCAAACGCCATCTCGTTTGCTCGCTGGTCTAATGATAGGCACGCGGCGTGATAGTATTTGTGTTGCATGCGATTCTCGCTCGTCATCCTCGGGGTGAATAGTGTCAAGTCGAGAAACACCAGCCCCTCCTTGTCCGCGCGATATATGCATACGTACACGGGCTCGAAACAAAGTCTATAATGCCAACTTCTCTCTCTGTCTCGTTCTCGACTGGCGTGCAGGTTTTTGAGAAAATCGATACCGCCTCGTGAACATACACTCGCCTCGAATGTGCTGCGCGCGGTAGTACTGTACGAAGGAGGTGAAAAAAATACTCGGATAACTCACGCGAGGCTCGAGAGAGAGAGAGAAAGAGAAAATATTAACGAGTGTAAGTTGTAGGTAGCAATCGATTTGAAGCAGCTTCAAAACGCGAACGCGAAACGCTTGTGTGCGCGAACTAGTAGAAAAGTTCTCGAGTAGTTCTTCAAACGTTCCGATTAAGCAAATAGACACGCATGTAATGAAAAAAGGGATGATGATAATAAGCGGCGCGCATGCGGCCCACGAGTAGTATCGCGAGCCGAGTTTACGCTACCCACGTATGTGCATTATTATGTGCAATCGCGCGTATACTTCTCGTTATTCTGCATCATTTTGGCGGGAAAACTTTGCTTTGGATTAGATTTTAATTGGATCGTACGATTCGAGAGATAAAATTAGCACTCGACCGCTCGTGTGAATATTCTTTGAGATATAGTTGCCAGCATCGTGATAATGATGCACTTTATACCACTAGTGCGCTTGAAGCACAATGAAGAGAAAAAATTATATGAAAAATTACACGATGAGCTTTCTAAAATTATACAGTTACTATAGCCACTGTACACACGCCCTTGCTTCTATACGTGTTTTGTCACGCCTCTCATCAGAAACTCGAAATGCGCACAATAGACTAAAAACTCCCAAATTCTCCAATACCATTTTAAAACCAGCCTATTATTTTTTGAAGAAAAGACTATAATGATTAATGATTTATTAAATAATTTTTACCATATAATATGAAAAATTAAAATGAGGGAATATTTGAATTTACAGTACTTCAGCCGCAACCTGACTCGACCAGTCCCGCGATATCGGACATCTCGTACCCGTCGCAACGAGACAACAGCATCAACGACTCGAAGGGCGAGGACGACGAGACCAACGAGGTGATCGAGTACGACGAGGAAGACAGCAACGACGAGGACGAGTCGGCCGACAACAAAACCAAGTCGAGCGAGCAGAGCGAGTCGGGCCTCATCGGCAGCGGCCGACCGCTCAAGCGCAAACTCGGCGACGAGTCCGAGGACGGCGACCAGTCCTCGTCGGAGCCGCACAAGAAGCGCAAACGACGAGTCCTCTTCTCCAAGAGCCAGACGTACGAGCTCGAGAGGCGCTTCAGTCAGCAGCGCTACCTGAGCGCGCCGGAGCGCGAGCATCTGGCCTCGGTCATCAGGCTGACGCCAACCCAGGTGAAAATCTGGTTTCAGAATCATCGCTATAAGACGAAGCGCGCCGCCACCGAGCGAGCCGATCACCATCAGCAACAGCAGCAGCAAGCCGGATCGAGGCTCGACTGCTCGCCGAGACGCGTCGCCGTGCCGGTACTGGTGCGCGACGGTCGGCCCTGCCAGACGAGCAAGCTCCTCGAACCCGGCTCGGGGGCTGCGGCTGCGGCGGCGGCTGCCGCTGCCGCGGCCTCGGCGGCCATCACCGGCTCGACGGTGCCCCCCAATTTCCCAGGTATGCCCCCGCAGCTAGCGATGAACCCTTTCATACAAAAGTCCTATTGGTGGTAGTAGTGGTGCTGCGACGATGGCAGTAGCGTCGAGGAAATCGAAACAGTGTAACCAAAGAATTTTTCGCGGCACTTTGTCGGAAAAACATATCGTCTGAGGCCGTTGTCATTATTGCTCTTTGTTTTTGATTGATCGTTGTTGTTCGATTTGATTTCGCATCGGTCGATATGTCCTTCCGCCCGTGTTTTGCTGTAATTTACTTGCTGGATGCTGACAATGCATTGGATTAAGGAGTAATACTTTAAAGCGATTTATATTCAGCAATGTATCGCGCCGATCTCATTACATTCTAGTAATAGCAAAATTGCTTGCCGCTGAACTTGATTAACTGTTATTTTAAAAAAAATTCGATATCCCGAAAAAAATGTGCAAATTTGATTTTATCCGTATTAATACACTGTGATGCCCCGTACCGATTAACGCATGCATCAAATGCATATGTCTGCAATGCTTGTATTTGTAAATTACAAATCATCTCTTCATGTAATTTTAAATACAAAAATTATTAAAAAAAAAAGGAAAATATTTAAAAAAATTTAAAAGAAGAATAAAGTCACTTGATGATTAGTATTAAACTCACAGTTTAAGTAATGTGTACTTCATTAATAAAAGCACGTGAGCAAACGCGTCGTTACTTGCACAAATATAGGTACGGTCTGAGAATCCTTTTATCGTGCTTGTCTTTGTACATGAATTTTTCTCACTGGATAGTTAATTTATTAATGTTATACTCGGTGCACAATTATTTCATTGAATCGATCAATTCAATAAAATAAACTCTATACATGTGAACGATTTTTTTTCAAAGCATCATTAATTGATAGTATCGAGTAAAAATAGTCAGGGTGTTAGTTAGTTGTAATTTTTTTGTGCTTTAGGATTTATTGTATGTATGGTGAACGAATATGTTGAATTTACAAAAAAGTATCATTACAAATCGATACCAAGCCAATGTGTAGACTAAAAACGTGCGTAACAACTGCATCAGAGAGTTTTTATCGATTTGTAACTGATGTGATTTCTTTCAACTTATTTGTCTCTTCGACAACTCAAATAAATGTATAATTACATAAAATGCCGCATGTGTAAATTAAAGCTAATCGTAGATTCGCGTTTATATTTTCATTTTAAATTTCTTCGACGATATATAGTTTTTTGTTTGCCAATTGTGCAATTGTAAATTCGATACGATCTCTATACTACTATCGTCAAATGCGTCAGGTGGTAAATTTAATTACTTAAGACGTATACTCGTACATTCCGAGAAACTAACTCAAAACGTTGTCAGCCTTTACCAGTAAATTGTATACTATGCACGATTGATTTTTTTTTGTAATGTGAAAAAAATCGGAAATATATAAAGAAAGTATATATTAATCTTATAATTAAATGTAAATATTGAAATTTATGAGATCAAGCTATAAATGACATCCTCATTTTAATCTAAATTATGAAATCTTCAAGATGTTAGAGAAAAAAATCATAATTATATAGATAAAAGTAACTGAAAATTATATAGTGTGAAACGTTAACACGGTTCAATAATATATTATATGCAACCTGTTAGATTAATAAAAAAGGAAAAGAGCGATAGTAGCTTGTCGTCGTAAAGCTCTATGTAAATAAATTTTGTAAATAATGTATTATAATTATATATGGTTACCAAAACTATACAAGCAACGTAATGGAGGAATAAAATACAATACTAATAATGTAAACATTAATTTTTTTTTCATTTTCCAACCTCATACATGTTATCCTTGACAAAAACCGAGAGACGTCGGAAATACGATCATCGACGCATTGTCGAGCGATGAAAGTAGTGTATATACAATTCAAGAGTTTTTCGAGGCTGTCGCGTTGCATATAGCAAAGAATCGATGTCAGCAAAGGACTGCACGAGGCAAGTGTACACAATGCCTCGCGTCGTTCAGAATTTTCCTACTTCTCTTCTTCTCTCTCTCTCTCTCTCTTTTTTCTTCCAACGTGCCACCGGATAAAGAGTCGACGGTTTGAGTGACGCGCTTCCGATTTCCGGCACGATACGCGCAGCGGCCATCTTGTTACCGGTTTAGATTTCCTGCCAAAGTATGCAGGCCTGCCTGCGTGCGTACTATGGACACCCCAATTGGCATTCGCATAATTCGAGTGTATGACTCGAGAGAGAGAAGAGTTGGTAAAACGAAGGGTTCACGAGCACGGGGCTCGTTTCGAAAAGAGACGAATTATCCGTGCGCGCAGCGTATTATATATGAAAAATGAAGAATTGGAAAGCGCGCATCACGAGTACTTCGGGAGAAGCACGTCGGGACCGGACTGCGCCTGCTCGAGCTGTTAATTTCCTTAATTTCTGTTCGGTGAAAAGTGAACTAGCATATAGTGGAGAGCTGAAATTCAACTCAACAGATTCGGCCAGCCAAAAGCAATCCTTTTTTTTCCCGCCAGTATAAGGCCGCTCCGCAGCTACGTGCCTGTGTGTGTGGGTGTGTGTGTGTGTGAGCTCCCTTATTCTCTACCTCGATTCTAGCGCGCATTATATCTCTTTACTTATACGATCGTTGATGATGTTAGCCCGAAGTAAATGGAGTGGACAGCGGCCGGCATATGCCTTTTTCCCTGTAATATCGAGCGCGCTCGACTGTAAGGGCGCGATAACATTCAGGATCGCGCACGTACACATACATACGTACGTACGTGTGTTATGATTTATATATGACCAACTACTATCTCTTCTCTTGCGTTAAAACTGATGCCTTGCTTGGCTATACATACGTACGGCTCCTTTGTCACGGACAACTTGTCGCGGATAAAGCTACATACGTGTATATCGCGCTCAACGTTTATGGCAAGTTTTTAATGTTTTTCGCTCGTTTTGTTATCATTATAAATATAGAAAAATATTTCTAGCTAGACGAAAACTCAACACGAACGAATATAACGTCTACTTCTTTACTCGCATTGAAATTATTTCAAAGGCTAAGCACCCTTGGTAGAAATGCTCGTCATTAATTATGGTGGATGACCAAAAAATTACTATTTAAATGTTTTTCAATACACTATAATTAATTGGTTTATTTTTAGCAATTTTTCTCTTACAATTTTATTACAAATGACCTGAAAATCACAATTCAACTTTTTCCAAATTTTAGACTAGTTTTCAACCACCCAAATTAAATAATCTTTCAATCTCTACCACTAGATGGCGAGTACTTTGAGCTGTAAATCTGCAAAGTGGCAAAGAAAAAATAATTGTATAAGTCACGGCTATTCTTTATGAAACGAATATTGTAGGGTGTGATCTTCCATAATTCGGTGTTAATTTTGCGATTAATAAACATAATCATCGTTTATGTTGCAATTAAAAAAAAACATGAATTTTTTACTTGAGATTTTTTTTCAAAGTCGATTTTCTACCTTGCCCTGCCTTTGGAGGGTTCAAATAACACGAGGAATCGTGCACTTTGGCTCTGAACATTGAAAAAACGCATTGCTGCGATTTCTATCTGGCTCCTATATTTATAAATGTTGGATTTATACCGAACAGGGTTATTAAAATTTACTCATTTTTCACTCAGTAACTATTGTCGTTATTTAAAAAAAGTCATACAGGGTGGGGAATAAATATGGAAACCCCTGGAAATTTCGCAGAATAAGTTGGGAAAAAAAATCAAAAACCTTATATCCGACGTATTTTTTCACGGGGAATCCAATGGTGACCTTGAATTTGACCTTGAACACGACCTTCAAGCTCCAGTGACCCAAAAATCGATTTTTCAAATGTAACCCCCATTTTTTATTGCAGATTTGAAAAGAACACAAAATTTCACGTCAAAATGTATGTTTTGTTTTTTTTTTCAAGGTCATTTTAAGGGCGTTACAGACGCAAATAAAACCCCAATTTAACCTAAAATTAAGTTCAAGTAAGGGCTTTTTTTCTAATTGTACCGCCTCCTAAATGACCTTAAAAAAAAAACAAAACATACATTTTGACGTGAAATTTTGTGCTTTTTTCAAATCTGCAATAAAAAATGGGGGTTACATTTGAAAAATCGATTTTTGGGTCGCTGGAGCTTGAAGGTCGTGTTCAAGGTCAAATTCAAGGTCACCATTGGATTCCCCGTAAAAAAATACGTCGGATATGAGGTTTTTGATTTTTTTTCCCAACTTATTCTGCGAAATTTCCAGGGGTTTCCATATTTATTCCCCACCCTGTATAATGAAAATTGTTTAAAATTGTTCGAAGAATACATGTGAATTATTTCAGAATTTTTTTAAACATTTTAGATTTTTTTAATTCTGGACATTTTACAAAATTTCCAAAGTGGTCTGAAAAATTCAAAAAAATTCACACATATTCTCTGAACGAGTTCAAATAAGTTTATTATGAATAAAAAAACCGTCTTTAAATTAATGAATCTTCGATAAAAAAAGATAATATATTATTCATTACCATTTTTATCTCTTTTCCTTGAATTTAAATGTTATAATCTCAGTGTCGCTTAATTAATTTTTGACGTAAATTCAAATGCATTCTTTCAGTAAAAACAACGAATGAACATATGCCATTTTGAACTGATAAAAACTAGGTCAAAACATTATGTAACCCACGAAATTGACATTTTTTTGTTTTTTAAATTTCAATCGCTCAATCTCTGTTGATTAAATTTTTTTCGATTGATAGCACTCAGTCTTTGAGTATAATGCTTTTTTATCAATAACACAAATCGCCATGAAAAAGTTGAAGAAAGAAAGAATCGATTCGATGATTTATTTTCTAGTTAGTGAATTTAGAATTGAGAAACAATGTAGTAATGAGTCAACTCTTCGTGACCCGAGTTGTGCCAAATCAAAAATAATTTTCCATCGAAACCGTTAAAAGGTTTGCTATTCTATGGGCTCTTATCTCTATCGTACTCAAAAGTCGATAGGCTTAAATTAATACAAAAATTTGAAGCTACTCGCTCTCAACAATTCGTATAAATATGAAATGATACTTATTGAATTTATCTGTTTCACCCAAGGATCATCTTTGCACCGACAACGATATCTCATCAGACCCACACACACGTACACGTATACACTCAAATAAACACGCCGATACTCAGGCAAAGATTATTCCGAAATAAATCCGATGAATACGTGTATGTGTACGTACGCGCGTACTCGATTTAGCTGAGATACACGGAATAAATCAGTGCTAGTACAGCCATAGTCGTCGTCGTCGTCGTTACACGCGAGCGCATAAAAATTCGACGCCGTCACCCCGAGAGCGAGAGACGAGATGCGCTGCGAAAAAAAGGCGGAAGGGAGTCGAGAAATCGCCGACGGCGATCCTTATTACTCTGGTCGCCAACCCCTAAATATAGTAGTAGTAGTAGTAGTCGTCGACGAGGACGACGACGCGCGCGGACCGTCGGCGGGCGGCCGTGTGTGCTGTATACGTATGCACGCGGAAATCTGTAGGCAATCGAAAAAAGCGGAGAGAGAAGGAGCCCGTAGTCGATGTAGTATAGGGTGGAAAGATCGATAAATGCAGAAAAGAGACGCAAATAAATTGATAGCCCGACGTTGTTGTCGTCGGTCGGTCGGTCGCTCGTCGCTGTCGCGGCAATGTGCACCGCGCCGTCCCCTAATATTTCCGAGTGTAATTGAGGGGGTGTGCTCGTGCGCACATACTTCTGAAAATATAAAAAAACTGCGCCCGCGCTGAAAGAGTACAACAACAACAGTAGTAGTAGCAGTAGCAGCAGTCCTTATGCTAGCTGCAATGACGTATTCGATTGCCGAATTTATTGCGCTGCCTATACTGCTGTATTGCCTGCGGATCGAATGAGTAATTGCCTTTGTTGGACCTCCATTGCCGTAGTGGATTGTTGTGCATTAGCCGTGATTTTCTTCTTGCTCTCTATCTCTTTATTTTTAAGTGAATTAGGCGAACGAGAAACGTATGCGAATCCGTATTCTATTCTTTACGATGTATGCTGGACACATTCGATTACGGCATTACTCTGGACTTTTTGCAAGTCGGATCGCTCGACTGGACGCAGTATCATCCGCACCTAAAGCCTCGTATGAATAATCTCGTCCGAGTCGATAGGAAAAATATGACGACAACGGCATCGGCGGTAAAAGTCGGTGATATGCGCAACACTCGATTGTTATCTTTTGTACGGAGCTTCACTCGTATACACGCTGCCTGCTATGTGTACAAGGGGGTAGCAAAGGTTCGGGGCCTGCTGCACGTGTGCCGCTCTCTGTCTCTCTCTCTCTCCAAGCATATAACACATCGTCACGGTATCGCGAGCACACGAGCTCCGCAGCGGTAGTTCTCTTTTCTCGTGGAGAGATGCTCCTGCCCCCGAATGCGCGCAGGGAGGAAGTTTCGTTTTATAAGGCGAGAGAGACACGCGACCGGAAAGAGCATCCTAATTGATATTGATTTAGACTGCTGCGCTGTGTATGCCTCTGCGCCTGTATGTGCATTGTATTGTTTTTCACGGCCACTGTATACCCGCGATCCACTTTTTGTTCGCTTTACGATTGCGCCTTTTTTTCTGCATTTGCGATGATTACCCAGAAAGGGAGAGAGAGAGAGCCACGTGAACGTAATGATAATTAGCCGATCGCGCCTGTGACTTTTGCAGCCCTAAGTAGCGATACTACTACGTTGATGCGTTTACTATAGACCGTCGCGAGTAACAAAAGTTT